ATGGATATTTGGGTTGTTTCTACCTTTTGGCTTTTGTGACTAGGCTGTTGCAAAAACTCATGTACAAGTATTTGTTTGAATATCTGTTTTCAATTATTTTGGATATATACTCAGAGGTTTCTCAGGTGGTGCAATGGTAAAGAATCTGCCTGCCAATGCAGGAGATGCAAGAGATGTGGGTTCGATCCCTGGGTCAGGAAGATCCCCTGCTGCCGGGAGCCGACACACGAGACCCTCCCCATGACAAGGCCATGAGGGAGAAAACCTGACGGGCAAGGCGGATCAGGTTTTCAGGGGTTTCGAAAAGGTCAGCTCACGAGACCCTACCCCTAACAAGGCCAGAAGAGAGGGAGCCTGACAGGCGAGGCGGATCAGGTTTTCAGGGGTTTCGAAAAGCTGCCCCCGGCGCTCACCTTAAAGATGATATCTGTCTTTCTGATGCCTGCCTCAATGGACTACTCCCTAATTTCTGTGACACAGGCAGGAAGGCCTTCCCCAATCTCTTCCCAAATAAGAATCAATTTAGAACTTTAATCAATAAGTTTCCCAGGTGGTGGTATTTTATGAGATTATCCAGGGTGAAAGGAGTGTTTTAATTTAAACTCCTTTGCTGATAGTTTGTTAGCCAAATGCATTTATACCCTGGTACTAATATGCATGATTGCTTATAATATCCTAATCATAAAATAACATAAAGAACCTGATTATATAAAGACCCTAATAGACATAGGGGTAAAGGGGTAAAGGAGTCCTATTAGAAAACATAAGAAAAATTATTCTATAGGTGGTTATTGGGTTGAGATTTGCTTGCTGTGTTTTGCTTGCTGTGTGTTTGCTTTTAATGTGCTAAGGTTGTGTTATAGAAACCATTGTTAATATAGTTAAAGATCTAGAGAAATAAGGACTTAGCCCTAGTGTGGTAACAATGAGATGGTTGTTAATTGTCAGCCAGGAGTGCTAGGCAGAGGCTGCCTCACCAAAGTCGCAGAGTCAGTGTGGGGTGAACTTCTTAGATAAACACAACTGACAACTTCTGCAGAAGGATTAATTTTTGTGTTAACAAGGTTATACTTCTACTCTGTACTGTTGCCCTATGAGACTGCTACCTTTCAGTTAAGGTCACCATAGAAACAGAAAATAGGTTTACATTCACCATACCTGCATAAAATGTTAATAGGCCCCAAGGCCAGAAGATAATGTATAAGACCCTCATAAACAAAGAAGTATGCAGAAAACACCCTGGTTTCGTGAAGAACAAGCTGATGAAATGTTATACTATCTTGCCCTTAGAAATGTACTAACTTAGGGTATAAAAGCTATGGTAAAAAATAAAGCAAAAAAAAAAAAGCATTGCCAGACTCTGCACCCCCCGTCTGGTCACACTGGTCACACTCTCTCTCTCTCTCTCTCTCACCAACGCTGTTCATCCTGAGGGTATCCCCTGGATCCTGCCTAGGCTGGACCCCGGCACCCTGCAGTAGGAAACAGCAACCCACTCTAGTATTCTTGCCTGGAAAATTCCATGGATAGAGGAGCCTGGCAAGCTAAGAATTGGACATGACTGATCAACTGAGCACGCACACACACACTTATACCGAGAAGTGGAACTGCTGGATCATATGGGAATTCTATCTTTTTTGGTGGGGGGGGCGGGCGGAATTCTATCTTTAACTTATTGAGGACTTGCCAGTTTCCACAGTAGCTGCACTGTTTTACATCCCACCAGCACCTTCTGAGAGTTCTGATTTTTCTCCATCCTTGCCAAGACTTCTGTTTCATTTTGCAGTCAGCCTAGTGGGCAAGTGTGACCGCACGTGTCATGACTGCATCTCCCTGATAGTTAACAATGTTGAGCATCTTTCCCTGTGGTGCTGACCATTGGTACATTTTCTTTGAAGGTGGGTCTATTCAAGTTTTTGTCCATAGTTTTCTGGTTTGGTTTTGTTTAAATTTTATCTATCTATCTTTGACTGCTGGGTCTTCACTGCTGCATGAGGGCTTTCTCTGGTTGCAGAGAGCAGGGCCTACTCTCTAGCTGCAGTGTACTGGCTTCTCGCTGTGGTGACTTCTTTTGTTGTGGAGCATTTCACTAGTTGTGGTTCGTGGGCTCTCTGAGCTCAGGCTCACTAGTTGTAGCACTCAGACTTGGTTGCTCCAAGGCATGTGGGATCTTCCCAGACCAGGAATGAAACCCATGTCTCCTGCGTTTGCAAGCAGATTCTTTACCACTGAGCCACCAGGGAAGCTCCTGTCCATAATTTTAATTGGGTAAGTCTAGTAACTATTTATTGGGTGCTGGATATTGTGAATTTTATGCTACTGAGTATTGTTTTGTGCCTGTTTCCCTTTAAAGAGTGTGGACATCCTTGGCAGCCTGTTACACTAAACAGCCTGTATCATCTTGTTCTCTTTGAGGCTTTCTCTCCACACTCATGATGGGTGCAGAATAACCTTTAGTTGAGAGCTAGTTCAGTCGCCTCACTGAGGCCATGACCCGCCTGGGGTTTCTCCTGAATGTTCTCATGTCCATCCTGGCTGCTCAGCATTAAAGATGTCCTCTGCCTATATGAAATCTGGACTCTTCAGCTCCTCCCCCCCCCCCCCCCCCGTTCTATTCTTGGACTTGCCGGGGTCGAGCCCCAGCAGGATTCAGGGGGTACCCTTAGGATGAACGGTGTCGGCGAGAGAAGACACGCGAGACCAGCCTTGATAGGGCCAAGTCTGCGAGGGGGTGGGGGGAGAGAGAGAGAGAGAAAGAGAGAGAGAGAGAAACCAGACGGGGGGTGCAGAGTCTGGCAGAGTCTGGCAATGCTTTATTTTTTACCATGGGTTTTATACCCTAAATTAGTACATTTCTAAGGGGAAGATAGTTTAACATTACATCAGCTTGTTCTTCACGAAACCAGGGTGTTTTCTGCATACTTCTTTGTTTATGAGGGTCTTATACATTATCTTCTGGCCTTGGGGCCTATTAACATTTTATGCAGGTATGGTGAATGTAAACCTATTTTCTGTTTCTATGGTGACCTTAACTGAAAGGTAGCAGTCTCATAGGGCAACAGTACAGAGTAGAAGTATAACCTTGTTAACACAAAAATTAATCCTTCTGCAGAAGTTGTCAGTTGTGTTTATCTAAGAAGTTCACCCCACACAGACTCTGCGACTTTGGTGAGACAGCCTCTGCCTAGCACTCCTGGCTGACAGTTAACAACCATCTCATTGTTACCACACTAGGGCTAAATCCTTATTTCTCTAGATCTTTAACTATATTAACAATGGTTTCTATAACACAACCTTAGCACATTAAAAGCAAAAACACAGCAAGCAAATGTTAACCCAATAGCTACTTTTAGAATAATTTTTCTTGTGTTTTCTAATAGGGCTTCCTCACCCCCCGAAGGGCTCTATGTCTATTAGGGTCTTTATATGATCAGGTTCTTTATGTTATTTTATGATTAGGGTATTATAAGCAATCATGCATATTAGTACCAAGGACATAAATGCATTTGCCAAACAAACTAAAATACCAGCAAAGGAGTTTAAATTAAAACACTCCTTTCACCCTGGATAATCTCATAAAATACCACCACCCGGGAAACTTATTGATTAAAGTTCTAAATTGATTCTTATTTGGGAAGAGATCGGGGAAGGCCTTCTGCCTGTGTCACAGAAATTAGGGAGTAGTCTATTGACGCAGGCATCAGAAAGACAGATATCATCTTTAAGGTGAGCGCCGGGGGCAGCTTTCCGAAATCCTTGCAAACCTGATCCGCCTCGCCTGTCAGGTTTTCTCCCTCATGACCTTGTCATGGGTGGGATCTCGTGTGTTGGCCCGGCATGGACTCTTGGAAATTTCTCCATCTTTGCCCTGATGTGGTGCTCAGCAAGAGAACTAAGAGGCTCTCATCTGGTCTGATTTGCTGAGAGCACAGTCCTGCGGCACTGGTTGTCCAGTGTTTGCAGTCACGTGGTTCACATACTTGTTGTCCAGTTTCCTAGCTCTTCATTGATGAAGGGCATGAATAGTCCAGTCACTTCCTCACAACCAGAATAAAAGTCTCTTTATCTCTTTTTTGTTTCTTTTTCTCATGTTTATCCCCTCCCCCTTCAACTTTATATTGAGATACAACTGAAGTATAATAAACTGCGCATATTTGAAGTGTACAGTTTCAACTGTTTTGACATATGTGTTAAATGTCTGAAACCATCACCAGGCTTGAACATTTCTATCACCTCCTAAAGTTTTCTTGTACCACTTGCAATGCATCTCTCCCTCCATTCTACCACAAGGCTATCAGTGATCTGTAGTTGGCATTTTCTAGAATTTCGTACAGATGGCACCATACAGTACTCTTTGAGAGAAGATCTGGCTTCTTTAATCAGCATAATGATTTTGAGCTTCATCCATGTTGTGTGTATCAGTAGTTGTCCTTTTGTTTTTCTGAGTAATATTCCACTGTGTGGTTATACCACGTTTTGTTTATCTATTCCTGTTTCAAATGTTGGCAGCAACATTCGAGTTGTTTACAGTTTGGGGCTGTTACAAATAAAGCTATGTACGTGGGTGTGTAACTCGACGCATGTTTTCATTTCTCTTGGGTGACTACCACCGGAAGATGCCCGAGTCACGCTAAATTTAAGTTAAACTTTTTAAGAAACGACCAAATATTTTCCCAAAGTGGCTGTAGCGTTTTACACGTTGGGGATGACACGGCCCCTGCTCCCAAATACCTCCGGAGAGGAGGTCTGCGAGTGACACGTTACCCTTTGGTACCGCCTTAGCAAGCCCGGAAGAAGGCAGGGAGGGAGGCCCGGCTGTGGGCACCGCACGTGCAAAGGCCCGGGGTGGGCAGAAGGCTCCTTGGGCGCAGGTGCGGCGGAGGTGGGGAGGGGAGGGCAGAGAGAGGACCTTCTCTGGCTCGGCCGGGCGGAGGGCGGGGCTGCCGGGAGGGGCTCCTCGGCGGCCCCGGATGGGGCGGGATTTGGGCGGCCGACGGCGCTCCGTCGGTTCCCAAGGCAACCGGGCTCAACAGTTGGAGCCCCATGGTTGTCTGGAGGCTTCCTGGTTCCCGTTTGCCAACATGTGCGCCGCCGAGGTGGATCGCCACGTTGCCCAGCGATACCTGCTCAAGCGGCGGCTCGGGAAGGGGGTGAGCTCGAGAGGCGCCCGGGCGTCCGCGGAACATGCAGGATGTGGGTAGGGCCGGTCAGAGGACTGTGGCCGTCCACGCTACAGGGACTCCTGCGCTGGGGTCCTGCCTCCTCCATGAGCTGCAGGTGTGCCCCATTTCCCACAACAGGGCACCCCACTCTCAGGGAACTTGTCCCCTGGCTCTGGGAGGCGGCTGAGAGCCGGGCCCCCCAAGGTCTCAGGTCTGAACTAGACCCCCCGGCTCCCGCTGTCCCCACCACCGTCTCAGGCTCCCGGCTGCCTCTCCCGGTGTCCACAGTGCGACACAGGCGCTGAGGGGGGCAGACCCCTGCCCAGGAAGGGCCTGAGCCAGTGAGCGGGGTGGGCGTGGCTGCTGGTCAGAGTCCCTGAGACCCCGAGTGTGTTTGTGACTGTGGGCGTGGGAGAGCAGCTCGGACTGTGTGAGAGTACATGTGTCACGGCGGGTCACGGGGTGTGTGCAAGTGTGAGACGCAGAGCAGAGAGAGCTGCCCATAGTGCGAGCAGGCATGCAGAAGCCCTGGGGCAAGGACATGCTGGGCTGCTGGGAAGGAGCAGAGCTGATGTAGCTGGACAGGAGACTAGGGGGACAGTCTGGGAACGTGGGGATTTGGGGAATGCTGCCCTGCAAGGACTTCAGCTCCTGCTGTGAGTGACACGGGGAGAGGAGCAGCCTTTGGTACCATTTTACAAGGCCAGGCTGCCCGCTCTGCTGAGGATGCCCTGTGGGAGTGGGTCGGGGAGAGAATTTAAGTGGATTCTTAATTTAAGAATTAAGTGGATCAGGGCAGTGATAGGGCTGGAGGTGGGAGAGGCTCAGACCAGGGTGGAGGGACAGAGGGGAGAGGAAGTCTTCAGATTCTGATGAATTCTGAAGTTGGAGTCAACAGGATCTGCGGACAGGCTGGATGGGGTACACGAGAGTGGGATCAGGGTGCCTGCAAGGGTGAAAGTCTGTCAGAGAAGGGACCCACCCAGGAACTCCCTCCCATTCCACAGTCAGGACCTGCCACCCCACATCCCCCTGGGGCCTCCCCAGAGGCCCCCTCTCTTGCCTCTAACCCCGGTTGCTTCCAACAGCCTCCTCTGGAGGCCTGCAGCTTTGGGGGCTTCCCCTTTCTGGAAGCAGAGTGGGAAGGAGGAGGCTCGTGTCTGCAGGAGGCGGTCTGGTGGAGCTCTGTGCCCAGCAGGCTGACCACTGTCCTCCTCAGGCCTATGGCATCGTGTGGAAGGCGGTGGACCGGAGGACTGGCGAGGTCGTGGCCATCAAGAAAATCTTTGATGCCTTCAAGGATAAGACGGATGCCCAGGTAAGTGAGTGGGGAAGACAGCGGTGTGGGAAAGGATGAGGCAGGGCTGTGGGGTGGCCCCCCGCTGCCTTGTGTCAGAAAGGTACAACTGGAAATGCAATCACAGCAGGTTTCTGCATTTCTCAGAGCACCTCCCCCTGCAAACCCAGGATCCAGGAGGTGTGCGGGCACTGAGCGTCCGTCCCTTCACATCCTTTCTAGACAGGGGCTTCCTTTTTGCTCCACACACACACTTGTGTTTCTGTCTCCTTCCAGAGGACGTTTCGGGAAATCATGCTTCTCCAGGTGAGTGGCCAGGCCATCTACCTGCTGCTCCTGGTGCTGTTTCTCCAAAGCAAGGGAAGCCTGGCCCCTGGCCCCCAGGGCACAGCCCCCTGCTCTTTCCCCAGGAATTTGGGGACCATCCCAACATCATCCGCCTCCTGGATGTGATTCCGGCAGAGAACGACAGGGACATATACCTGGTGTTTGAGTCTATGGGTGAGTGAGGCCTCCCTCAGACCCCAGTCCCACTTTGTCCAGGCCCAGGACCACCCCCGCCCGCCCACATCGCAGTGTTTCCTGCAGTGGCTGGTGCGCTCAGCAAGGGCAGAGTCCCTTGGAGCTGGAGAGTGTCAGCCCCCAAGGCCTGGTGGCAAATACCTTGATCCCCGCCTCTGCGAGGTTTTGCAGCTACGTGTCCTTTTTTCCTGCTCATTTGATAAAACAAAGGCATCATGAAATAAAGAATAAAAACAATTCCACAAACTTTGTTTGCTGTGCTGACAAAGACAGTAGGCAGGCTTGAGAGGCGGGCACGGGCTCCCGGGCTGCGCTTGTGCCCAGCACGTGCTGGCGAGGCCCGGGTCTGTGAGAGCTGAGGAGCCCCTGCGGGGGTGCAGAGTGGGCCCACCTGGCCCACCCCCCCAGGCCCGCCAGACTGACCCGCAAGCCCCTCCAGACACCGACCTGAATGCCGTCATCTGCAAGGGCACACTGCTGAAGGACACCCACAAGCGCTACATCTTCTACCAGCTGCTGCGGGCCACCAAGTTCATTCACTCAGGGCGAGTCATCCACCGGGACCAGAAGGTACCACCCACGCCCGTCTACTGAGCTCCACGGCCCAGCCGGCGGCCCAGTGGGTGCACTGGGTCCTGGAGCCCCAGCCTGGTCAGCCCGCAGCCTGCCTCTTCGCCCCTAGCCATCCAATGTTCTCCTGGATGCCAGCTGTTTGGTGAAGCTCTGTGACTTTGGCCTGGCTCGCCCCCTGAGCGGCCTCCCTGCGGTGCCCGAGGGCCATGCCCTGACGGAGTATGTGGCCACGAGATGGTACCGGGCTCCAGAGGTGTTGCTGTCTTCCAGCTGGTAACAGCGAGCGACCTGCCCTCATCCTGCCCCACCTCCCCCTGCAAGGTCTGGGCCCCCGCGCCCCCCTGCCCAGCCAGGGCCCTTGGCCGCCTTGCCCCTAGAGTCCCAGACCCCACTCGAAGTTCCTCCTCCCACCTGCGCCTCGGCCTCTGGGGTCCCCCCTCCAGCTCCACCCCCCTCCCCTCACCAGGTACACCCCCGGGGTGGACATGTGGAGCCTGGGTTGCATTCTGGGGGAGATGCTGCAGGGGCGGCCCTTGTTCCCTGGCACGTCCACCCTCCACCAGCTGGAGCTCATCCTGGAGGCCATCCCGCCACCGTCCAAGGAGGGTGAGCGTGTGGGTAGGCGGCTGCTGGCACACAGCTGTGGGGGAACGGCGCCTCATGGACCAGGACTGCATGGGAGGACAGCGGGGAGGGGATGGGGCTGGGAATGGCAGGGAGGCGGGATGAGCAGGGTCCAGAGGCCTTGGCAAGCCTGGAGGGGGCAAGCTCTGCAGGGTGGGCCCAGGGAAGGGCTGCTGGGGCTTCTGCCAGGGACACGGGGCCCACGAGGGCCAGGCAGTGCCCATCGAGCATCCACCCGGGGCGGGACAGCAGCACGAGCTCTGTGGAGGGGCGACAGTCAGTGTGCTGCCAGGGGCCGGGCGGGGCGCAGCGGAGAGACAGGCGGAGCGGCTGGAGGGGCAGCCCGCAGCAGCCCTTCCTTCCTGGGGCTGGCAGTGTGGAGGGCAGTGTTGGGGAGCCCTGTTCTCTCCCCAGTCTGCTCTGGGGGAGAGGGCAAGGCGCTCCCCATGGAGGTGGGGGGTACATGTGTGCACATGAGAGCACGCGGCACGTGGAGAAGGTAGGTGTGTAAGGACAGGCGCACATGTGGGTGCACTAGTGGTGGTGCACGACCTGGTTTTCGGGGTTTGAGCCCCGCCAGAGAGCCGAGACCCTGCAGAGGAGGTTGCGCCACAGGCCAGAAGCAGTGGCCACCCACCTCCCTGCGCTGCCAGGCCGCCCACCTTCCTGACTCCTGAGCACCCTGCCTTCTCCCCTTACTCCCAGACCTCCTGGCGCTTGGCTCTGGCTGCAACATCTCAGTTCTGCAGCACCTGGGGTCCCGGTGAGTGCGAGGGCTTCAGGGGCCCCCAGTGTGCTCCCTGCAGCCTTCAGGGCCAGCGAATGTCAGCTTCGTGAGCCCTGCCCTCCTGACCACAGTCCTGAACCGGGAAACTGTTAGTCAGCCTGAAATGAGGAGACCCCAGGGTGGGCCCCGCTAGCGCTGGGAGAGCAGCAGGAACCACCCCAGGCATCAGAGAGCAGGGGTCTGACGACCTTCCCTGGCGCCCGAGGGTGATGCAGGGGACAGGAAACCAGGGGATGGGTGGAAGTTGAAACCCTAGCAAGGGGCACAGATGTGGACATGGGGCTGGGGGGGCCAGACCCTGGAAGCCCTGACGAGCCAGCCTCCCACAGGCCCAGGCAGACACTAGATGCCCTCCTGCCCCCCGATACCCCTCCAGACGCCCTGGACCTCCTCTCACGACTCCTGGTGTTTGCCCCGCACAAGCGGCTCAGCGCAGCCCAGGCCCTGCAGCACCCCTACGTGCAGAGGTAGAGGCTGGGGGTGGCGGTGGCTGCAAACCTCGGAGGGGCTCTCCTGAGGCAGCCCGGCCCTGCTGCCCCAGCACCCGCCTGGCTGGCTCCCTGCAGGTTCCACTGCCCGGCCGGTGAGTGGACGCTGGGGGGTGCCGTGCAGCTCCCGGTGCAGGAAGGAGCCCAGCTCTCAGCCGCCGACTATCGCCACCGCCTCTATAAGGTGCTCTGAGATGCCACCCGGTCACTCGGCCCCGAGGCCTCCTCTGCGCAGCGACCCTGCCCCCACTCCAGCACCCTCTGAGCGCCCCTCTGCTCTCGCAGATGATCTTGGAGCGCAAGGGCCACGGCCACCTCCCGAAGGAGACGGGTCTGGGGGACAGCCCCCCAACCCCCGAGCCGGAGGCCCAGCTGCCCTTGGGCTCGCCTGCGTGGAACCCCGGAGGCCGGCCTCGGAGTAACCCCGGCCACGGCCCTGTGCACGGTGCGTGGTCTGACCGCCGATGTGTGGGGCCACCAACCTCCAGCAGCGCCGGACTCCTGACCCCGGGGTTTGGTCTCCCGACCCCACAGATGCCCCCGGCAGAGCCCAGGACCCTCCCAGGCAGAACTCAGTCCCCCTGCACCAGCCTCTGCCCCCAGGAGGTCCTGGGAGAGGGGCGAGGCCCGGCGGGGAGACGTCATCCTTGTGGGTAGGTCGTGGTGGGGGCGCAGCAGGACCGCTCCCACTGCTCGTTTACACGGGCGCCGGTGACGCTGCCACTCGCCCCTTCCCAGGTGAAGCCCAGCGCAAGGGAGGCGGTGCCCTCGTTGACCTCGCAGGCCGCCGCCCAGGTGGCCGTCCGGGCCCTGATCCGGAGTGACCGGATCCCGGACCGCGGTGCGAACGCGCCCGGCGCGCCACGGGTGAGTCCGCGCGTCCCGCGCCCCGTCCCCACCCCCCTCCCCCTTCCCCTCCGCCGGCCGCTCCCGGTACCGGGCGCTCCTCCACGGTCCTCGATCCTCATCTGTGTGCAGGTTCCTCCTCGACCTCCGGGGGCGGCCCGGCCCAGTCGGAGGATGTTCGATGCCTCGGCAGCGCAGGGGGCCCAGGGGGCCACGCGGGCCGCGCTGGGGGGCTATTCCCAAGCCTACGGGACCGTCTGCCTCTCGGCGCTGGGCTGCCTGCCCCTCCCCCCGGGACCTCGGCGCCTGAGCCGCCCTGCGGGTCTTCAAGCGGACCTCCCCGGTGCCCAGCCCCGCCCCAGTCCCTAGGTTGCCCCTCCTCCGGCAGGTTCCCGGGCCCAAGCCCCCGGTGCTCTCCACCTCCCTTTTCCCCAACGCACCCTCTCCTGGCCACATTTAAGCCCCAGGCCGCTGAGGTTCACACCCAATCTCTATCACTTCCTCCAATAAAGTTCTATCTGTCCCCCACCCGCCTGCCCATCTGTCACCCTCAGCCAGGGTCTGCCAGCGAGGCTGCACCAAACCTTTTCCCTTCTGGAGGACAGAGCCTTTGAGAGGCCTCCAGGCTGCCATATGCTGTCACCTGGGCTCCGGTCTGCTCAGTGTCCAGCACTTTCTATCTTAAGGCTGCCTGGGGGTTGCCTTGGGATCACCTCTGTCCACAGCATCCAGGGCCTGCCTGGTGCCTGAGCACCTCAGGTCCCAGCTGGGGGTGCTGCAGGAGCGAGGTGGTCCCCACGGTGATCCTGCCTGGGAGGGTCTTGTTCAGTGCATGTTGCCGGTCTGCAAGCCACCGTGTGACCACACTTGTGGCCCTGAGCCACAGCAGGAAAGGGGAGAACGTGGGACACTGCCCCTGACTGCAGTCAGTCACGCCCCACCAACACGGTGACAGGCGCTCGGTCTGTCTCCAGACCTTGGCTGGGGAAGAGGAGAGCAGCTGTGAATGTCTTGTGGGGCTCAAGGCTTCCTCCCCTGGTATCACCAGGCAAAGCGCCCAGTGTGAGCCCAGACTAGGGGTGTGGGACTGAGGAGTGGGAGGGTCCCAGCCAGCACTGAGGTATCTCCTGGTTCCATGCACACCTCATACTGTCCCCACCCTCGGCAGTGGTCAGGACGCAGGGAGGCCACTTTTCAGTGCCTGGTTGGAGGTGTTCCTGGCCCAAGGGCTTTTCAGCCAGGAGCAGGTGGCTCCGCCCTACTGTGAAGACATCAGCTGCTGCAGGGGAGGGAGAGGAATGGATCCAGGAGAGCTGGGCAGGGGGTGACCTAGACCTGGCAGCTACTCAGAAGGCAGAACAGGGCTTGGGGAAGGCCAGGGAGGGGCCGTGGTTCTGACTTGCAGGCGAGCCAGTCATGAGATGGGGCTGCCTAAAGGGGCAGCTTTTTGCATTTTTAGAGCCTGAGGTATAGCTCAAGCAATGAATACAGGGGACCCATAGGGCTGCAGAATGAATGCCACTGCCCAGAAAGGGGCAGGGCACCCAAGAAGCCCTGAGTGCAGAGGTGGTGCTGCAAGACTGGAGGGTCTGGGAGGCCCAGGCAAGTAGACAAATGGCTGCTTGGCACCCGGGCCAAGGGCAGCCCCAGGTTGATGGGAACTTCCAGAAGAGGCTAGGAAGTGTCTGCTGGGCTTGGCAACCAGGGGTTTGCCAATGGGCTGTGCCTACACAGAGGGCCGGTGAAGTGAGGCCTGTCACGGAAAGTGGCTGAGAGGTGAAAGGGGTTTATGGTGGTTAGAAGATGCGGGTAGAGGTGGTGGCAGTATAGATGGGGAGGGGTCTCTAGTCCACCCCACAGGGATGGATGGTGGTGTCCAGAGAGAAACCTGAGACATTAATAGGGCTAAAGGCTACAATTATAACTGGGTGATGTTATGTATATGTATTTGGGAACATGACAGAATATTTCGTGTGTTGTGTTTTTTTTTATTAACACCAAAATGTGCAGAATCACATTTGAGGTGAGGTCTTATTAAGCATGACGTGGAGGACGCAGATGGGAGGGTCCGAAGGCCTCGGGTCTCTCCCTGGGCAGAACCTCCACTTCCTGCGAGGGCTCTCCGTCAGCGACAGGCCCAGCCTGGTCTGCTCAGAACAGCTGCACACCAGGCCAGGCCAAACCAAACGTGTCAGCAAGCACATCGAGGACCAGAGATGCTCCGGCTCATCCGGCTCCCCAGAGGCCTTTTCCATTCGAACCAAAGTCTCTGCTGTCACCCCACCTGGGTGGTGGCTTTGGTGACGAGACCACGGGCCACCAGGGCGCAGGGGCTCAGTCAGGACTGTGGCCACACCCAACAGTCCCCAAAGAGCAATTAGGCTTTCCTATACTTAAAAAAAAAAAAACTATTTAAAAAGAAATAGCACAAACACTAATTTAACAATACCAGCACCTATGGTGGGGGGAGGGGTGGCTTTCAAAGCATTTGGTGCCAAAATGAATCATTCCAGATCAGTTACTGTCTGGAGGTGAAAAAAAAAGATACAAGCAAGCTAAATGGGGAACCTTGGACAGATTTTTGGGGGGCTGGTGACAAAGGGGAAAGGATGCACAAGAGGGTGGAGTCTGGGTCTGCTGGGCACCTGCAGGGCAAGGACCACTTAGATGAGGGACTGAGGTGCAGAGGTCCCATGTCAGGGACACTGAGACCCCTCAGAGCAGCGTGCCGGGGCTCAGGAGCCATCGCACGCCGTCCTCTGCCCTCACAGGACAAGGCTCCACATCCAGCCCTTTCTGCAGCGTGGCTGCAGATGGACCTGGGAACACGTGTCTGTCAGGAACGCTTCGTGAGGCCAGGGCCTCCCATCACCCACTGGGCTGTTGTGCCACAAAGCCCGGTTCTTGCCCTTGCAGGGTGCCGGCCAGGGCCTCCCATCACCCACTGGGCTGTTGTGCCACAAAGCCCGGTTCTCACCCTTGCAGGGTGCCGGCCAGGGCCTCCCATCACCCACTGGGCTGTTGTGCCACAAAGCCCAGTTCTCGCCCTTGCAGGGTCCGGAGGGAGGGAAGGAGGGACGTGCTGGGGAAAGGGCAGGAAGTGAGCCCTAAGACTGCAGGTGCAGAAACAGGCCCTGAGAAGATGAAGGCCTAGAGAGGAGGGGGCTGCCAGGCAGTGGACAGGGGCAGCACAGCCAGGCCATGAGCAGAGGGGACCCCTGAGACACAGAAGCCCTGAGACATGTGGACCCCAGAGTATGGGGGCCTAAGGCACAGAGAGATGGGGGAAAACAGATGCCTAAGAAGGGGGAGGCTGAGGCTCCAGAGGCGGAGGTGTGAAGGGCCAGAGCTGGGGTGGTAAGGCAGCGGGCAGCTGGGGCTGAAACTCTAAGGGAGGAGAGACCCAGGGGCACGAGGCCGGCAGGGCCGCTGGCTGAGCCTCAGGTGGAGCGGAGCTCTGGCTGGCCCAGCCGGTTCCCTGGGCTTTGGCTGAGGGCCAAGTGTTCTGCCCAGCAGGCACCTCGGCCTGGGCTGGAAGGCCAGGTGACTCACTTCTTGCTTTTGAATGTACCCAGGATCTTGGGCATGAACTTGCCCACCTTGCTGTCCCTGGCGTCCTCCTCGGCTGGGCCCTCCGCTGCCCCGGGAGCCCCCGGCTCCTCCTTTTTGCAGAAGACCTCGAAACGGCTGTAGACACGCTTCTCTTTGCGCATGCTCTCCATGCGGCGCAGGAGCCGGTCGCGTTCCTCTGCACTGGCAGGCAGTGTGCGGCTCAGCCGGCCTTGGGTCCCCAGGCTGTCCGAGCGGAAGATGGCCGAGCACTTGTCCTTGTCGGACATGTCAGGGGCCAGGCTGCCGGCCGCTGGCGAGCGACCCAGCTCTGGGCTGCTGTGGGCCGGGGTCGGGCCTGGGGCAGGGACTCCGCGATGCTTCTGGCCGTGGGCGCTGATCTGCTCCAGGATGGCTTTTGTGTCGTCCCGCAGGTTGCTGCTGTACAAGGCATTGGCTGTGGCTGAAGACACGCGCGCCCACGGGCCCCGCTCCTCTGCAGCCACCTCGGTGCTGTCAACCCGGCCTAGGGACGGCCGCTGGGGGCTCTCAGGCTGCCCGTTCTCCTGCGGCATCGGAAAGCTGCCCTCATCCTCTGCCCGCCGCTCACCCTTGGGGCTCAGCAGCTGCCGCAGTCGCATGGAGCCTTTGCGCAGGACCTCCATGGGGCCGCCAACCGCCTCCTCTGTGGGCCCTGCCTTCGGAGACTCCCCGGAGAAGGGAAGGGTGAGGCTGCCCCTGCGCTCAGGCACAGGGGGCACAGGGCTGCCCCTGCGCTCTGGAACAGGAGGCACCGGGCTGCCCCTGCGCTCAGGGTAGACAGAAGTGGGGCTCCCCTTCTGCTCAGTAAATCCAGCGGTGGGGCTGCCTTTACGGGCGGGAAGCCCAGGAGTGGGACTCCCCTTGCGCTCCGGGTAGGCTGAGGTGGGGCTCCCTTTTGGCTCAGACTGGTGCCCCCCAGGCCACTCTGGTGGGGGGCTGTCCCGCCCTTGCGGGGAGGTGGAGTGGCCCTGGGCGGACAGGAAGCGGGAGGGCAGCCGGTCCGTGCCACTGCTGCCCCGGCCCAGCGTGTCCAGCAGCTGGGTAGCGGTGAGAGTGGCAGCTCCGGGTTGTCGCTCCGCCTCCTGATGCAGCTGCTGTGCAAAGGACTCACGCAGGTCCAGCAGGCAGCTCTCCAGGCTGCGGTGTTCACTGCTACCGCCGCCGCCAGGCGCAGACACCTCCTCCCTCCACGCCTGGGACACGACAGCCTTGCTATGGCTTGCGACTGTGACTGCTGTCCCCACGCCGCCAGGGTCTCGAGAGGGGCCCTTGTACTTCTCCAGGAGCTCGGCCACCTTGGTGGAGGTAGCGGAGCGCACGGCTTCACCACCGGACCCCAGCATCTCGCTGAGCGTCTGCTCCTTGTGCAGCAGCTGCGCCTTCTCCGTGGAGGCCCCCGCAGCTCCGCCCACGCCCTCGCCCTGTGAAGCGCTGAAGATGAGTGAGGAGCGCAGCCGGGAGCTGCGCTGGATCAGCGGGTTCAGGCGTGAGCGGAAAGAGTCCTGCTTGGCCAGGCCCGCCTCCTCCGGGCCCTCGCGCTCCGGGCAGTCGCCGCCACCGCTGCCCGAGCCCGGCACTAGGCCCTTGCCTGGGAAGGGCGCAGGCACACGGAAGGCCGAGGGAAGCAGGTCCCCAGCGGTCGCCCGACCCCCAGAAACCAGCACGTCATCGTCATAGGCCTCGGCCTCCATGGGTGCAGGCAGGCCCTCGTCTCCAGCGTCCTCGCTGTGACAGCCGCTCAGGTAGGAGGCAAGGCGCCAGTGCCGCAGTCCGGCCCGCCCCTCGGGCCCACCCCTGCGCTCCGGCTCGGGCTGGGGCGCCGTCTCAGGGCCTAGCCTCGTCACTGCTTGGCAAGGGAAGCGCTGGCCCAGGTTGGGACGAGGGGCCCCGCCGGGTTCCAGACCGTGGGGCCCGGGCCCGAAGGCGGGGTCTGAGCCATGGCGCACCTCCCGCGAGGCACTGGATGGCACGTAGTCCAGCCGCTGGTGTCCGTCCAGGCCGAGCTCCGGAAATCGTGGCCCGGTGCCCAGTGTGAATTCGTCGTGGTCGGGGAAGCCAGGACGGCTGGCACGAAGCTTCTCGAACAGGCCTTGTGGGCGCGCCGGAGCAAGCTGAGGGTCCCACTGGTAGTGTTGTTGGTAGAGCTGGTCGCGGTGGAAGTGGCTGGTCTGGAAGCGGAGGTCATCGCCGTGGCTGAGGAACGTCTGCCGTGATACCTGCCGTGCGGCCGCCAGGTTCTCCACTGCGCCCGCACCGTCGGCGGCCGCATAGCTGTACCTCTTAAAGGCGTCCATCTCTAGGTGCCGCGCCTGAAAGAAGCCCCGCGGACCCGAGAGCTCCCCACCTGGCCCAGCCTCTGCGTCCAGCCTACGCGACAGCGGCCGCAGCCCCGCGTGCGGCTCCAGGGCGCCCCCGGGCATCCGTGAAGACTCCTCTCGGCGAAAGGCCGACAGAAAGTGGCGGTCGGGGTCGAGGAAGGAGGGGAAGCCCAGGCCTTCTTCCCGAGGTGGTGGGAACAGGAGGTGGGCGCGTTTGGGGAAGGAGAAGGGGGTAGGAGCCCCGGGTATCTGGCCGCCCATGAGCGGCCCAGCCCCTGCGTATGGAGCCAGGGCATAGGCGTCCATGCGGGCCAGTGCTCCGGGCGAGGGTATCAGCGGCTCGGATTGTGCGAAGAGAATGCGGAATTCCTCATCGAAGCTGGAGACCAGCTCGCCCTGGAACACGTGTACCAGACTCCGGTGGATCTTCTCGAAGGACCACATAAAGCTGGGAAGGGGGTGGGGCCAGTCAGAGGGAAGGCCAAGACTGGGGGCGGGGGGCGAGCGGGGGCGCGCGCCGAGGGACCATCTTATGATAAAAGGGGCGGGGCCGGGTGGGGAAGGGGCGTGGCCAAGCACATTAGGGTTAGGGCCCTACAGGAGGGCTTCTGGAAAGGAGGCCCTCGAATAGGGAGGCAAGGGGCTAGCCGCACCTGTAGCTCCCACTCATCACCACGGCACAATCCACCAAGAGGAACTTCTCCTTTACATGGCCCTTGAAGGACTTCCCAGTGCGGCAGTAGTAGGTGGGGCCGGCCACAGTGCGCACGCGCAGGAACTGGGGCGGGAGAGGTGTTAGGGTTCTGCAGAGGGGCCTCACTGCGCCCCTCCCGGTCATCCCCTCCCGCCCTCTGGCCACTCACGTCCACATGGTGCAGGTTGACCCGGCACTTGTCGGCCATGTCCAGGAAGTGCTGTGCATTCATCTCGTCTAGGAGGATGTAGACTGGGACGCGGCGCGCAGCGGCCTCCAGCACTTCACTGAGAAGGTCCACATCGGTGAACATGTCCATCACCACAGCCACCACCTGCAGGGGTGAAGCAGGGACAGAGGCCCGAACCCTCAGCTGTCCCCACCATTCTCTAGCCATACCTTCATGCCCTCCCCACCCCCTGGGCGCAGGGGCAGGCTATTGCTGAATGCCCACAATAGCTACTAGCCCATTGCAGGGGAGTGGGGCCCTGTCATAGAACAGAGGTCAGAAGGGCCCATCATTAGAGATGTGGGGTTACTGGTGGCCCATGATGGAGCCCTAGGAAGGCACAGGGCCTGCAGCCTATTGAGGGAGGGTTGTTCTTCAGCTCAGGGTGGGTGTTCAGCTCAGGGCAGAGCCCTGGATGGGGGAGGCGGCAAGGCAAAGCCCCAGGCTCCATTCCTGCCCCTGGGAAGGAGTTGCCATCTGGGAAGGAGGGGTGAAGGGGCAGAGACGGGTCTTTACATCTGAGCTGCTGCCATAAGTCTGTGGTTTAACAGGCTCCATTTGCTATTTGCCAACTGCTTGGTGTTGGAGGCAAGTCGAGGGCAGGACTAGAGAATTCTCTGAACATTAAGTTCAGGCAAGGAAGGGCCTCAACCATCAGAGCCCTTGGGCTTCTGGGCACCAGCCATGACCCTGGGTAGGCAAACCTGTGCAGTCTGCAGCTTGTGATAACCAAACCACTGATGACCCTGGAAGAAGTCTGCCAGGGCACCCTCATTACAGCTTGAGGGCTGGAGAGGCTTGGCCAGCCAATCCTGGCCCACCCTTGCCCCCTAAACTGGCATGCACTTCCCCTTCACCCTCATACTCCTACTCATGCTTCAAGGTCCATTGCAGGCTGCCCCTCCCCACTGCCCACTGAGCCTGTGACAGCATACTTGCTGGGCAGAGCGGATCATCCTTCGAGCCTCATCCTTGATGCTGGGGCTGTCAGGTGGCGGCGGCTGAACCAGTGTGGTGACCTCAGTGCCCTGGAAGCCAAAGGTCAGGGGCCAGCCTAGGTCGAGTTCAGGAACTGCCTGGTCGGAGTTCACAGGCCAGTAAGTACCAGAGGAGCCATCGAAGTCCAAATTGGGGGGGCTGCCTTCCGGGGGCTCAGGGGCAACATGCTGCGGGGGTCGCAGGTGGCGGCTCACGTGCTCCAGCTCCTCAGGGCACAGGAAGGCAGGCGCCCCCTCGGAAGCAAGGAAGCGGCTGTATGCCTCTGGCCCGCCCTCAGCCAGTGCATCCACGGCCAGGCGGTAATACTCTTTGTAGTGCGGGGGCAGGTACCCGGGAGCCAGAGGGTTGTCCCCCTGGGAGGAGCTCTGGGAGCGACGGGCCATGTTGGGGCCAGGGACCTGGGGGAAGGACAGGGAGACACATTACAGGGGGAAGGGCTCTGGGTCCACCCCCCACACACTTGTGGACATATCATAGCAGCAGCTGTCAGTGACCCTGGGTGGGCTGTGGAGGTCAGGTCGCGCCTGGAGGTCTTCCAGGGCACTCCCAGACCCTGGCATGCCCCCTAGTTGGGGGAACATCAGAACACACGCCCGTTGTCTCTTGTGGCTCTGGCAGTGGGGCTGGCCCTCCTCTCACCAGGGCCCAGGAGGCACCCTGGGCCCCGGCTTCCAGGTAGGTGTTCCAGCTCCACATGGGCCTGACTCAGGGCTACATTATGGCCTCTGTGGCCCAAGGCACTTCTGCATTGTGGACTCCTTCCTCCATTAAAAAAAAAGACAGTTATAAAGAAAATATAAATATAATACAGACTGTATCAATATATTTACTTTTTTCTTCTGATTTTATGACAATGCATTTTTGTGGCCCCTGGCACTGTGCATGCTGGACAAGTTGGGGCACTGCCTGCATCTCTGCCCCCTAGAGCCGGGGGACCCTGGACTGCTCTGTGCCTCTATGGCCTGTTCTCTCCACTGTACAATGCAGCTGTCTCAGCCAGAAAGAATGCAATTTTGTGATTTGCAGCAACATAGATGGACTTGAAGGGCATTATGCTAAGTGAAATAAGTCATAGAAAAACATACTGTATGATATATATGTGGAATCTAAAAAAAATATAACTAGTGAATCTAACAAAGAAACAGACTCACACATATAGAGGACAAACCAGTGGTTACTAGTGTATGTGGGGGAGTGGGAGGTACAAAGTACTGAGTGTTAAGACAGGCTTAAGGATGTACTGGACAACATGGGAATACAGCCAATATTTTGTAGTAACTGTAAATGGAGTATTCCCTTTACAAATTTAATTAAAAACTTTTTTAATTAAAAACTTTTTTGAATGCAGCTGTCAGGGTTGACCTGATAGCACACTTGGCCCAAGGTGACCTCAGTGCACAGAGCCTGTCACCCCATCCACAGACCCTGGCCACTCCCCCACCTGTGCTACAGGGTCTCACACTCGGCCCCACAACCCACTTGCTGACCTCAGAGCCCTCTGCCCCTGTCCACCATACCATCTTAGACACCTCCCTAGGCTGCACTCCTGGAACAGCCCTCCCGCTCCCCGAGGCCTGAACTTCACATCCTGGCAGGAGCTTAGAGGCCTGTCCCTGCCAAGCCCGGCCCGTGGGGCAGCAGTAACCTTCCAAGTTCCTGGTCACTGCCCACTTGTCCTCAGCTCCAGGTGAGCCTCTCCGCCTTCACTGCTCCCCCAATTTCACACTATCAGCCAGGACCACTGGCTCCAGTCCAGCCCACCTGTCTCCAAAGGGTCTGCATGGGAGCCTGGCCTGGGGGAATATAGGTCCTGGAAGGCCAGGTGGGGGTCTTTATTTGGCTCCTAGGCCCCATCTCCCTAGGACCCCTGAAATACCTGGTTGCTCATATCTCCCTAATCTGGAAGGAGGGTCACAAGAAGCTCATCCTGTCTGGCTTGTGACTTCCTGAATGTGGGCCGACAGGCAGTGCCCCCAGCCCCTGTAGGTGCAGCTGGACAGTGCTGACTGGACAGGGTCAGTGGCCTGCTGGAGACAGTTGGGAGGGTAGGGATGACTTGGGGCATCTTTCCTGTCTGCCCTCCTGGGAGAAGTGACGTAGAGGTGGGGGTGGGGGACGCCTCTGTGTGTATTCAGTCACACCCAGTGGAGAGGCTACTTGGTCTGATTGAGGAAAACCTGCTGTGCCTTAGAGAGGGCACCGCTCGCAGGTGTATCTGGGTACACATGGGGTGGCCATGCGTCCTCACTGTACCAGGACCAGATGCAGGCTGACCACACGAGGGTATGTGGTCAGGGTCCTGTTTGCACCAGGGTCCTGACCCTGTATGTGACCACAGGGTGTGTGTTATCTTGAACTGTATCTGACTGGGGAGCGGCCGCTCTCCTGCTGACAGCCCTTGAGGGTGCCACTTCACACGTCAGGGAAACATACTGGAAGGGACCTCCTTCCCTCCTACTTTACTGGGGAAGGGAATCAACACCAAGTGTCCAGGCTGCATGCAGAGTGGGTGGGGATCCGAGGGTGGGGAAGGGGCCCTGTCCTGGGGGAGTGTGTAGGGGGCCCTGCCCAGCCGCACGAAGCCACACGCGGGCCCCTGACCACCTCAGGCCTCTGCCTGTCTCCTTACACAGGTCCCCATGCCCCTGACCTGTGTACCCGGCAGTGGCCACTCCCAGCTATGGGAACCCCAACAGCTGCCTCTCCACATTTGCCTACCAACGCCGGCCTGAAGGGAGGGAAGGGCGCTTATCCCACCCCAGCTGATGACTCAGCAAATTCTCTTGGCTGCTGACCTCTGACCCGAGACAGAGCCGACAAAGCCTCCAGGCAGGGCCCTAAGGGCTCTAGTGGGCTCCTGAACCAGGGACCTCCAACGGAAGTCTTTCCCGCCGGCAAGCCTGGGGTTTTATCCGGAGAGAGGGATCTGGGGCACAAGGTGGGCTGGCCCTGCGCCAGGCAGGCAGAGGCTTTAGGCCACAGGAGGAGGACGGGGCTGGGATTCCCACAGAGAAAGTGGGTGAGCCGCAGCTTTCCAGTGCACACTGCAGGGCCAAAGCGGGTGACTGAATCCCGGGAAGTTAAGCTGCCTGGGCCAAGAGTCCCGTCCACCCACCCAGTCCAGGGACTTGGGCGCCAGGGAATCCTGCGCCCCACGGAGGGAACCAGACAGAGCTCCGGCCACGCGGGCCACCCCCAGTCCACGGCGGCCTAGAAGGGGCCCCCCGAGGAAGGGTCTAGGCCAGGCCCAGCACGCTCTCCAGACTCCAGCTAGGCCGCGAGGATAGGAGCAAGGCGGGGCGGCCTGGGCTGGCTCGATCTGGGCCTGGGGCCCCTTCCCACTCCCTTCTCTCGGGCCGGCGTCGAGCGAGGGCGCCTGAGGCGCCCCCTCGGTCCCAGCTCCGGCAGACCCGGCCCGACCCCCTCGCGCGCGGCCGCGCTCCCACTGCCTCTCTCTGGGTCACGCTGACGCAGCCAGGTGCGGGCGGGCTGGCCGCCCAGGTGAGGCTGCGCCGGGGGGGCCACCGACGGTGTCCGCCGAGCCCCCCCGGCGGCGCGGACCGGGACCCCGGCCCGGGACCCCGGGAGACCGCTGGGCCCCGACTGCCGGGGCCCCGCGTCCCCAGGCTCCCATCGGTTCGCCGAGGGCTCGAGGGCCCTAAGCCTGACCCTTGACCCTCGCCCCGGAAGTCGGGGTGACTCGGAAGTTCCGGCTAGTCGCTAGGAAACGGGCCAGCCCGACGCGGGGGGCGGTGCTTCTGGCCTTGCCTACGAGTTGGGGGAGGCAGGTGAAGCAGGTGAGACCTTGAGGGCGGCGCCGAGCCTTGGGCGGGGCAGGGCCTGGGGGCCTGTGAGCCCAGAGTGCCCCCCACCACACCGGGACAGCCCCAGCCCCGCACACTCCGACTCCCACAGGTATCCAGGACCCAACAGACAAGAGGGGTCCCCCACGCGTATAGAAGACCCACTGCACACCGGGACACTTCCCCACTCCAGTCCTCTGCCCCCACTGGCACACCCACACACACGTAGCACACACCTGTGGACAGGGACTGTACAGACACATAGGGACCTGCACACACAAGGGACTCCACACACACACTGACCCCCACTTCCATGGGAGCCCCGTGCCCGATGCACACAGAAACCCAGGTCCACACAGGACCCTACAAGCACATGAGGCCTGCACCTGCTGTACTCAGGTGCACGCCCGTGTCCACACATACAGCACGCTCTGCGTGCACAGACTTCGCATGCAAGCAGGGCCATCCCCCCGAGCACCCAGAGTTCCTCAGAAACTGGGGGCCCTGCAGGTCCCTGAGCCCTGCACACTCCTGCCACACTTGTGTGCATGCACACATACACACTCACAGTCCCTTCCTTAGCTGCCCCAGCCCCCCAGCCTCCCCACAAACACTCCAGATCCCTACTCAGAACCCCAGTTCCCCATCAGACCCTCTCTGAGGGGCCCTTACACAACACAGGCCCAGCCCAGCCCTAGACCATCTGCCCAAGCCCAGGACAGAACCAGCCCCTGCCCTCCCACCTCAAGCTCTGTCCCTCCCTCACCATAGTGCCCATCTGTCTCTTTCAGCCAGTCTCCGGTCACCTCCCAACTTTCAGGGTCACCCCCATTTGCATTCGCTCTTTCCCCAAATTCTTAATGACATCCATGGTGGGAACACAGGTGTGCGCTCAGGCAGCAGTGCTGTGGGGGAGGGGGGGCAACACAGCCTGGGGCAGGGGAGGCCCCCCCTCCAGGGAAATGAATCTGGGGGTCAGCCGAGTGGGCCAGGGAGAAGGGTATTGCTCCCGGGCCCCGACAACACCTCCTGCCAAGGCCAAGATGAGAGAGGGGTGGGGTGTGGGGGGAGAGCTGGGGGCAGTGGGGGCACAGAGGCTTCTGCAAGGCCGGGTCGGCTCAGGCTGGTGTTTAGGACGAAGCTGGCTCAGCCCAGTGATCGGAAGCCTGGAGATGGGTACCCGACATCAATCCTGGGGTAAGGATGGGTGAGCCAGGCTGAGGGGGCAGGGACGTGAGGGCAAGGGGGACAAGCTGTGGCCAGATGTTTTTGCCAAGCATTCCCACCCAAGCTACTGGGCACGTACACGCCAAGAACCAGGGGCAGGCGGGTGGGCAAGGAAGCCGGCAGGAAGCTGCGTTGGGGGGTGATCCTGTGTTCCCCAGTTTGGCACCTGCTGTCTGTTCCCGCAGGTCCGTGTGATGCTGTCCCCACTGCCCCCGACGGTCTGAGCACACCCTCCTGACCTTCCCCCTCACCCAGGAGAATGAGCAGTAAGAAGGGGGTAACCAGAGCTGCGCCAAGGAAGTCCTTCCCCAGAGCCAAGCCATGGGCCCCTGCCGGTGAGTGTGATCCCTCTGACTTCCAGCCTGGCTCAGACTCTGACTTGTGACACCTGCTGTGCAGCCACCCAGGAAGACCCTTCCCTGAGACAGAGGAGTCAGAGCACAGATGTCCCTTCCAGACTCTGACCCTGGGACTGTACCCCTGGGGTTGGGGTCCTGAGGACAGTGTTCAGGGCATAACTTTAGGACACATGGAGGCAGGTGGCCTGTGGGGACTGAATATAGGTTCTGAAACAGCAGGGCTTGAACCCACGTTGGGGACTCTCAGGCAGCCCACAGTCTGCTCTGACCCTCTGCACCACCGAGGCCATGCTGTGTTTTTCCTTGTCTGCTGCTCCCTCAGGCCATGCTCTCTTTAGCCACTTCCAGGCTAAAAGGTGACAGCTTGCCCTTGGCTCAGTCCCGCCGTGGGCTAGGAAGTGCATCTCCTCCCATGTCCACCCTGACCCGCAGTCGCTCTTCTCTGAGTCCCATTGCTTCTGTCACAGCACTCATCTGAGTTCTTTGCTAGGCTGCCAACACCTTCCAGGCTGCGGCTAGGGGTCCTCCCAGCACACAGGCCTGTACTGGGGTCTGTGCTCGGTAGGGGAGCCCCACACTCTGTTCCCCAGCTGCAGGCCCCCTGCTTTAGCAGGCCTGGACCCCAGAGGCCTCCCAGATCCCCAGACCTGGCGGGATGGTGGTGCCCACTCTTCCACGCCAAGCTGGGTTAGACCCTAGCTCCCCAAAATAGCCCCAGCCGCGTCTGAGGCGGCAGCACTCCTGGAATGAGGATGACGGCTCAGGTGGCTTCCGCCATCTCATCTCAAGCCCCGGGAACAGGCTCTGCAATAAACAGCAGGCCGGGCAGGTGGCCAGGAAGCTATGTCGGGTGGGGGAGGGGTGCTGGTCTTGCCTGCTGACTGTCCACCTGGGCTCGGGACCCGGCCCTCACCCCACATGTCCCAAACGCTGTGCTGGACAGTTCCTGCCCCAGCCCACCTGGCCAGGATGCCTGGGTGCTCTGCAGAGACACCTCTGCCTCAGTTTCCCTGAACAGCCCCCTCCTGGGCTCCCTCTGCCTTCTAGCATCGGGCCAGCCCAAGAGGGCTGAGTGGTCCTTGCACTGCCCCGTGCAGTGGGCACCAGCCTTACTTTGGCCCACAGATGTGCCGTGGGTTGTTGCCACAGTCACCACACCCCCCGGGATGGTCAGCCTCCTCCACCCTGGTCCCCTCCAGGCCTTACCGGGTCTTGGGTCTGCAGCGCCTCAAGGCCCTCGCTGCGGAGCTGCTCCAAGGCCAGGGCTAGCTCCAGCCCCTCCACGCGCACCCAGGCCTGCTGCTCCTGGAGCTGCTGCAGCCACAGCTGCTCCTCTTGCCACAGCCGCATGTGCAGCTGGGCCTGCCGACGCCGGTCCTCCAGCAGCAGCTGCTCCTGGGCCAGGCACAGCTCGACCTCGTGGAGCCTCAGCAGCTCTGGGCCCAGGCCTGGCGCCAGGCCGCCCACCCTGTAGCCCTCCATGTCCGCAGCGGGCACCAGCACCAGCTCGGACCCCACGGCAGCGGCCTGCTCCGGCCTCTTGGCTCCCTGTGGCCGCTCTGGTCTGGCCACCTTGGGGTGCCCCTGGGGAGCCAGCTTGCTGCTGGTCACGTGCCCCACAGGGGCCACCCCCGCTTCGTCCCCTAGGCACCCTGGGGCAGGGGGCGGGGGCCTGGCCTCAGGGCCCTGCTGCCCCGTGGCCTTCTGTGCCCTGCCCGCCCTCCTGGGCCGGGGTTTGCGAGCTCGACTTCGTTTGCCAGACATGCCCCCGATCTGGCGCCTGTTTTACCAGGTGTCTGCTCCTCGGGGGGCCCGGCTCATCAGCTGGCCGGCCTCAGTCAGGCGGGCCCAGGGGGCTCCCCTGAGAGGCCACGGTGGGCCCTCTGCTCCTGCGGCCCCTCGTGTCTGCCCTTCCCCTGGGCTGGCACCCCAGCTGAGGTGCTGGCCTGGGCTCTGTTTGTGGGCCTCAGAGACCCACTCCGCGGGCTGGGCTGTGCCAGGGAGTTTATAGGGACTTGGCGGCGCGGTGGCTCACCCGGCGCGAGGCTGACTAACACGCTGACACGGCGCAGGGCTGCTGGGGCACAGGCCTCTTCGGCCAGACTGGGAGGGAGACTGAGAGAAACCGGAGGAGGCGACTCGGCAGCCAGACTGCGGGCTGTGTGTCGGGACGCGTCTGGTCCTGCCCTGGGCGGGCACCCGTGCCCCCCACCCCGTCCCAACCCGTCCTCCCTGCTCCCAGGGAGCTCCAGCTGCAGCCCACAGGCCTCGGAGCCGCGTCCCGGGCCGCGCCGACCATCCAGGCAGGGTGCTCACAGGTTGCTCTAACGCAACTGCCACAGGAGCCCCTGGCCCCAGCCCCCAGTCAGCATGCCTGGAGAAGCCCACCTGGCGGGCAGGGGGAGCTGCGGGAGGGCGAGGGGGCATTCTTTGCAGTTGATGGACCCACTGACCCCTCCGGGGGAGACTCCCAGTGGGGGCCAGGGGCGCCGGGGACTGGTGGAAGAGGCTGGAAGGTGGAAGGCCCAGATAGCATTTAGTGGACTGACATGGGGCAGTAAGGAAGAGGCCGGCCTGCTCTGAGCTGGGGCAGGGCTCTTGAGGGCGTCCTGATTGGGGGTCCGGCGGTTCTGCCACAGGGGCCAGCCTTTGGATTCCTGGGGGAGGCGCACAGGGCCAGCCTGCCTGGCAGCGTCCCCCCGCCCGCTTCCTGGTGGGAGGGGGCCCCACGCACGGCTCCTCCCCGTCATTTCCCCAGCCTGGGGCCGCTGACTCACACCCACGCCCAGGGCCCCATCCCAACCGGCTCCGTCACACTGGCTGGACTGGTTTGCCTGGCCCAGCCCCGCCGGCTGCACCCCTCTCGCTCAGCCCTTGCCCCAGAGGCCTCGCGGGTAGGTAGACGGAGGCACAGAGCGGGAGTAGCGTCGGGGCACGGGAAGTGGCACCGGCGGGGGCAGTGTTAGGGGTGGGGTAGGGCGGGCGGCGAGTCCTGCGGCGGCCTGGCCACACCTGGGATCCGGGCCTGGAGCTCGGCCCACGTGCGGGCGGGCCTGCTTGCCTGCGCCCCCTTGCGGTCGCGGCCCGACCCTGGTCGTCTCGCGAGGAGGCTGCGGGCGGCCGCTGCTGCCCCGCGGGGACGCGGCCGCTCTTCCGGGGCCGAGCTCGCCCCCACCCCCACCCCACTGACCGCCCCCCTCCCCCAGGGAAGCCCGGAGAGAGCCGCCAGCCGCAGAGGGAGACCGGCCCGCCGGCCACGGGGCGCGCGTCCCCCGAGCGCCCGGAGGCTCCTGCAGGTGAGAAGCCATGCTCCCCGGTGCGCTCTCGGGCCGGGGGCTGGACACCTCGCCGTGCCCGTGTGTGCACGCCCCGGGAACGCGTGTGCTGGGGCTGGCCTGCGGGGCTCCTCTCCCGTACGCCCGCAGCTCCAGCGGGACCCCCTCCGCATTGGCAGAGCGTCCCCAGGGTCGGGGGAGGGGCCCTCAGTCCCAGGCCTCGTCTTCTCAGAGCGCTCAGCCTCAGTCATGGTCTCTTGGCAGCCGCCTCCAGAGCAGAATCTCTAGGAAAAGATTCCTCCTGCGGCCCAGACCCGCATTCAGGAGCACCCCCCCCCCCCCAGGGTGTTGTCAATCTCTGCGGCACTTACAAGCTGCACACTGTCGAGGCCCTCACCTCGCGTGTCTGCCGTCTGTCTCAGCTCCCTGGCGAGCCTGTGTCCACGCCTCAGCCGGCGGCTGGTTCTGTGCCCCCACATACCCGCGTTCCCCCGCTGGCTGACTCTGGCCCCTCCATTTCCCTCCATGTCGTGGCCACCAGCAGCCAGTCTCTCCTGCAACAGTGGTCCTCCCCAGGTGGCTCTGGCCTCACCCCCAGATAGACTCCCAGCACTGCCAGTCACCTTGGTTTACCCCCGGACCCCCAAAGGGCCAGGGTGAGGAGCCTGACCTTGTCCTGAGGACAGGGCCAGACCCCAGAAGGCTTGAAGAGTCCTGACTGTCCATTTTATAGAAGTTTTAATGCCCAACCTATGTATTGGAAGGATGTCGAGTAGCAGGAGATTGGGGTCTGGAAAAATGGCAGAAATGAGAGGAAGTGGAGGACACAGCCAGGCTGGGCCCCAGAGAGTCCTGTCTGGGTGTCGCCACTGCTGTGCTCTCCCTGCTGCTCTGCCAAGGACTGTCCCCGGTTGTTTGTGTCCTGCTGTCACTTTCTCAAGATCCAGGCACCTGGTGAGAAGTCCAGTCTGCCCTTAGGTCCTGCTCCCTTTGTCAGGCACTGGAGGGACGGGTGTCTGGGGCCCCCTCCTTGTGGGTTTCTGTAGTGGGAAGTGGGCTCCTACTGAATTTTCCCGAACAGAAACCCGCCTTACAAGGTCAGGGTCTCAAGCCTTCAACAGGTCAGTCCACCCTTGTCTGAGGCCGCACCCTGTGGACTTGAAGTAACACAAGACCTGCCGTTGCTTCGCCTCTTTCTGCAGGAGTTGGGTCCCTCACTCAGGCAGGGCGGGTGCCAGTACCACGGGCATGTTACTGGTCTGCAGGCACGGCCTCATCCTGGAGGGCAGGCGCAGCTGCAGAGCCTAGACTTCAGCCTGGACAAACGGGGTCCCCTCACAGTGGAGGTGTCACGCAGGACTGCTCTGCTTGGGGCTGGGTGGCCAGAAGTGCACACGCCCCCAACCCCTACCTTGTCTTGTGGCTGTGCTCACGTGTCTGGGAGCCTTGACTCCCTGCAGTGGGTACCCTTCCAGTGTATTCACACTCTGGTATGTTCCAAGAAGCACCCCTGCCCCAGAGAGGATCTGGCCTCCTATCACCTCCCATGTTTCTGACAATCTGTCCAAATTGTCAGCCTGAGTGCATGAGCTGATGTCACGATGGTTATTCGGCAGGTTGGTAGCCAGTCTAAATCGGCCTTGACTAGAGGGGCTCATGCTGCCAGTTGGCCTGCACGCCTTCCCCAGGCCTGCCCACCATCATTGTTCCAGACTTGTTCACTTCAGGCTTCTGATGCACTGGCCAAGCCCTTCCCATTGTCCTGGAGTTGTCTACTTGCACACCGCAGACCACTCTCCCCGCCATGAACCGGGTACCCTTGGGAGATTCTCTCCTCTGCTTGGACCTCCCGAGAGGAGCTGTGAGGCGGCAGCGGGCAGTCTGAGGGGCGCCTCCATGCGGACTGAGCTCTGTGGATCGAGCTGGAGTCCCCTGTCCACCTCCAGGAACACCGTTGTGTGGCAGAGAGGAGTGCGTCAGGATGTGTTCCTTTCTGTTGTGAAGGACAGCTGTGTGTGCCCAGCACCGCAAGTCCCAGAGCTAGGACCCCGGCTCGGGGTGGGGACTCAGGCTGCTTGTCCTCTGGAGCCCTGGACACGGGTGGGTTGCTAGTCCCAGATATAGCATGCTGCACTGAAGTCCTGAGAGGCCTGCCAAGCTCTGGGCCTCCTGATGGAAGGAGGTCTGAGGCATAACAACTTACGTCTTACCTGTAAGGTATCCTGGCAAAGGTATCCCAGATCTGCAAACCCTAAACTCTTCATTAGTGTGGTTTAGTTTCCCACCCTCTATAGCTGCCTGGATCTGTGAGTTGTCGGGATGATGTGGGTTTCTGTGCTAGTTCCCTGTAGCTGCTGTAACAACAGCTAATGCACTGTTGTGCATTAGTGCATTAGTGTTTAGTGTCTCAACACAGCACAAATTTACTGTCTTGCAGTTCTGTGGGTGAGAAAGCCGACCTGGGCCTCAGTGGACTAAAATCAAGGTGCTTCCTGCAGGCTCTAGAGGAGGATCTGTCCTCTGTCCTCTTGAGCTTCTGCCGGCACCCACATTCCTTGGCTCGTGGCTGCTCCCTCCCTGTGCAGAGTCAGCAGCCTCTTCTGAAGTCCCAGCTCCTCTGTGTCTTCTCCTGTGCCTACCCTGATGACCCTGGCTGGCTTCCTGTCTTCAAGTCAGCCCACAGCAGCCCTAGTTCTGCCTCCAGTCTTTACGGCCCTTGCCATGTAACACAGCATGTTCACAGACTCCCGGGAACAGGACAGAGGCATTATCAGGGGCTGCCATCCTGCCCGCCGAGAGTAACGTGGTCCTGAGGCAGGGCAGAGAGGGCCTGCTGCTTGGCATGGACGGGAGGGCACTACAGGCCAGGCCCCGCCACACGCCGGGTGCCCCAGGCTCAGGGCGGCCCTGACTGGCCCGCTGTCTGTATGTGTTTCCTTCATCCATCTTCTCCCTCCCTCGTTTGTTTCTTGCAGAGGCCAGACAGGTGAATTTAATGGAGATGTGATGGGCACCACCACACCTGATTCCTCAAGTATTTGGTTTTTTAATTTAGGCTTTATTCTTTTAGAGCAAAATTGAGAGGAAGGCACAGAGACTTCCCATAGACACCCAGCCCACCACACATGCACAGCCTCTCCCATTATCAACGTCCCCCACTCAACACTGGTTGACAGCTGATCACACTGGTGACAACTGATGAGCCTCACTGACACACCACAGTTTACATTAGGATCCACTTTCGGTATTGTATATTCTGTGGGTTTGGACAAATGTTAATGACATGTAAACATCCTTGTGCCATCACACGGAGGATTTTCACTGCCCTAGAATTCCCCCGTGTTCTGTCTGTTTCTCATATCCCCTTCATCCCTCACCACCACCAGTCTTGTTATTGTCCCCATAGTTTTGCCTTTTCCAGGACGTCAGATACTTGGAATCATACAGTATTATAGGCTTCTCAAAATTTTTTTTTTTCACTGAGTAATATGCATTTCAGTTCAGTCGCTCAGTCTTGTCGTACTCTTTGTGACCCCATGGACTGCAGCACGTCAGGCCTCCCTGTCCATCACCAACTCCCGAAGTTTACCCAAACTCATGTCCATTGAGTTGGGGATTCCATCCAACCATCTCACCCTCTGTTGTCCCCTTCTCCTCCCGCCTTCAATCTTTACCAGCAATGGGGTCTTTTCACATGAGTCAGTTCTCATCAGGTGGCCAAAGTATTGGAGTTTCAGCTTCAGCCTCAGTCCTTCCAATGAACACTGGGGACTGATTTCCTTTAGGATGGACTGGTTGGATCTCCTTGCAGTCCAAGGAGACTCAAGAATCTTCTCCAACACCAGAGTTCAAAAGCGTCAATTCTTTGGCACTCAGCTTTCTTTATAGCCCAACTCTCACATCCATACGTGACTACTGGGAAAACCATAGCTTTGACTAAATGGACCTTTGTTGGCAAAGTAATGTCTCTGGTTTTTAATATGCTGTCTAGGTTGGTCATAACTTTTCTTCCAAGGAGCAAGTGTCTTTTAATTTCATGGCTGCAGTCACCATCTGCAGTGATTTTAGAGCCCCCCAAAATAAAGTCTGTCACTGTTTCCATTGTTTCCCCATCTATTTGCCATGAATTGATGGGACCAGATGCCATGATCTTAGTTTTCTGAATGTTGAGTTTTAAGTCAACTTTTTCTTTTGCCATTATCTTCATCACCTGCACCATAGTTTGGCCTCAGGTCAAATAACAGGGAGGGAACACAGCCCCGCCCATTAACAGAAAATTGGATTAAAGATTTACTGAGCATGGCCTCAGAACAAGACCCAGATTCCCCCTCAGTCTCTCCCATCAGGAAGCTTCCATAAGCTTCTTATCAATCTGATCACATGGACCACAATCTTGTCTAACTCAATGAAACTAAGAGCCATGCTGTGTAGGGCCAACCAAGACAGATGGGTCATGGTGGAGAGTCCTGACAAAATGTGGTCCACTGGAGAAGGGAATGGCAAACCACCTCAGTATTCTTGCCTTAAAAACCCCATGAACTGTATGAATATGCATTTAAGGTTCCTCCATAAGTGCATATTACTGAGTGAAGGAGCTGGGGTCCTCACTCCAGGACTTGCAGCATCAGGCACACAGCGATTCTTCAGGACAGAAAGGAGCACATCTGGCTGCACTCTTGTCTGCCACTCGACGGCATTCCTGGGGGTGGAGGGGGCTGCAGCTCTCCATCCACAGGGCTCAGTCCGCAGGGAGGCACCTCTTGTGTTTTTCTGTGTCTTGAGAGCTCACTTCCTTTTAGGGCTCCATTGTCTGGATGAACCACAGTTTATTTACCCACTCACCTGCTGAAGGACATCATGGTTGAGTCTAGGTTTTAGCAATTATAATAAATCTGCTGTAAACATCCGCGTGCAGGATTTGTTGTGAGCATAAGATTTCAATTCCTTTTGGTAAAAACCAGGGAGCACAGTTGTCAAATTATTAGAGTATGTTTAGTTTTATAAGAAACTGCCTGGGAGGTGGGAGGGGGGACCGGGATGGGGAATACCTGTAAATCCATGGCTAATTCATTTCAATGTATGACAAAAACTACTGTAATGATGTAAAGTAATTAGCCTCCAACTAATAAAAATAAATGGGAAAAAAAAAAAAAAAAAAAAGGCGAGGGTTGGATGACCTGAGAGAACAGCATCGACACATGTATATTACCAAGTGTGAAACAGATCTCCAGTCCAGGTTGGATGCATGAGACAAGTGCTCGGGCCTGGTGCACTGGGAAGACCCAGAGGGATGGGGTGGAGAGGGAGGTGGGAGGGGGGACCGGGATGGGGAATACATGTAAATCCATGGCTAATTCATTTCAATGTATGACAAAAACTACTGTAATGATGTAAAGTAATTAGCCTCCAACTAATAAAAATAAATGGGAAAAAAAAAGAAAAAAGAAACTGCCTAACTGTCTTCCAAGGTGGCTGCACCCTCCTGTGCTCCCACCAGCACTGACTGCAGGTCCCCCTTTCCCGCACCCTCGCCAGCGCCTGGTGTCGGAGTGTCTGCCTTCTGGCTCCTCTAGTAGGCGTGCAGAGGTATCTCACTCTTGTTTTACTTTGCATTTCCTGCTGACAGGTGATGTGGAGCATCTTTCACATGCTTTCTGTGCCAACAGTATAGGTTCTTTGATGAAGTGTCTGCTCAGCTCTTTGGCCCATTTTAACATCAGGTTGTTCTCTTACTGTTTGGTCTTAAGAGTTCTTTGTGTATTTCAGATTACAGTCCTTTATCAAATGTGTCTTTTGCAAAGTTTCTCCCAGACTGTGTTTAGTAAAGAAGAAAATTTTCATTTTAATGAAGTCCAGCTTATCAGTTGTTTCATTAATTGTGCTTCTGATGTTGTACCTAAAAAGTCATTGCCAAACGCAAGGTCATCTGGGTTTTCTCCTCTGTTACCTTCTAGAAATCAGTTCTGTGGGGTTTTTCGTTTGTTTGGTTTGATTGTAAGACATATGGGATCTCAGTACCCTAACCCGGGATTGAACCCAGGTTGCGTCAGTGAAAGCCCAGAATCCTAACCATTAGGCCACCAGGGAATGCTCCAGTTTCGTTTCACATTCAGGTCTGTGATCCATCTTGAGTTAATTTCCATGAAGGGTGTAAGATCCGTATCCAGATTCACTTTCTTGCATGTGGACGTCCAGGTGTTGCAGCAACATCTTTTAAAGAGACCATCTTGGCTTCACCCATTGCCTCTGCCCCTTTGTCAAAGGTCAACTGACTATGTTTATAGGGGTCCCTCACGTCTTTGGTGCTGGTATTAGTCTCTTCAGTTCCTCCAGGAAATTGTTCCATCTTGTTCACGGTCCTGGTGGGAAGGGGGTTTCTCAGGCTCCCCTCTGGCTCTTGCTACGGTAACAGCTCTGCTGGTGAAGAAGCCAGTGTGAGCATTCCACCAGCAGCCAGGTGTCCCTGTCCCAGCTGGACCTGGGAATGGACTGGGGCACAGTGCCGCCTGCCCCTTGGCCTTCGCTCAAACAGGGCCATGATGATATTGCAATGTGCCCCCCCTCCCCCAGGCAGCAGTGTCAGTTCAGATATGTCTACAGGCCTCAAAAGGCCTCTATCCCCGTTTCCCCAGGGCACCGTTGAGCCTGACAGAGGCCACCAACTCCTCCGGGGGGAGCAAGGGAAGGCCAGCCTGGGGAGAGCACTTGGAGAGGCTCTGCAGGGCCTCCACCAAGGGCATCTGGCATTCTCTCACAGCAGCTGTGAGTCTTTGACCTTGACTTTTGTCTGGAAACTGGGTGAGAGACTGGTGGCTGATGTCAGATTTCGGATGGATGGAGCCTGCCCTGCCCCTCGCCCCGGGGTCTCTGCATCCTGACTGCCCTGACTGCTGCCTGTGGCGATAGCATCCTGGCCGCACAGCTCACTGCTGCTGCTCAGCCTCCTGGGTTCTGGGCTCCCATCTTCCACCGACCCGAGGACAGCCCACTGGCCTCCCAGCACCAGCCCAGCCTTCCGAGGGTGAGGTCAGGAGTGTTTCTCACTGACTAAGGACTGTCCTCTGAACCCTCCCAGGGGGCCTGTAGCGGGAGGCTTAAACCAGCAAACGTGGTCGGCCGCCACGGGCCTCTTCCCGGAGCCCACCTGCACCTCCCTGCTCCACCTGCTCAGCCCCTGACTCTCCTACTGGCCTGCGGGCAGCAAAGGGGGCTTCGGGCGAGGTCATCGTGGTTCAGAAAGACCGCTCTCCGCGGGCAAGGCGGAAGGAGGCGTTCTGGCGCGTGGGGCCGGCTGCGGGAGCCGACAGGTGTGGTTGCTGCCCGGCAGCGCCAGAGCAGAGGGGCGTCCAGCAGGCGGGCAGCGCTGCGCTGCCGCCGCCTCTGGCCTCCGGAGCCCCCTCCCGCGCCCCCTGCTGGCGGGATAAACAGAGCGGCCGCGGGGGCCCGCACCACGGACGCCAGCGCGAGGGTCGGAGCTGCTCGGGTCCGCCGGGCGCCCAGGCCCCGGACTGCGGCCCCCGCACTCACCTCCCGCACGCATGTGAGCTCCCTCCGCGCAGTGTCGGGGGGCTGTCCGCTCTGCCTGCCGGCAGGTCCTTCGGCCATGAGAATGCCGTGTCTCAGCCCGTGGTCTCTATGAGTCAGGAATCCAGGCACAGCTCGGCCAGCGTTTCCTGGGCGTGATAAGCCCCTCTTTGACCAGTGGACACGGCAGTGTTTGGGGGCCCTGGGAACTGGTTCAGAACCAGAGCTTAGTCCCCAGTCTCTGCCTACTGTCCTTCCTCCAGGGCCTAGTCAGTGGACCGGGGCCTCTGGGAGGCTGGGAGGCAGATCTGTACACACCGAGGTGGGTCTTGGGCTGCCTCCTGAAGGGACGCAGGCTTCCCTTTCAGCCACAGGTGCGAATTTGGTTCACTGTGATTCCTGCGCTTCTCACCCGGGTTACTGGCATCTCACGTCTGTCCCACGGCTAGGGAGCTGGGTGCCAGGTCAAGGACAGAAACACGACCAAGTATATTGCGTGCTCATGTTGCTAGGGTCTATTTCCTGGCACCTTCTGGTACCTGTCAGAGTGCAGTCAGGAATAATAAAAAAAATTTTTTTAGTTTTTAAAATTTATTTTTAAAATATTTATTTATTTGGCTGCACTCACTTGCTAACTTCTACATTTGATGTCGCTATAAAATGTCTCAGGAGAGCTCAATTGGATTTATTTCCTACTTGGGTGCTCAAATAACGTTTTTCTTAAGGGCTAGCACTTAAGTAGGACGTATCTGATGCCAACTGTTCTGCTCCCTGGTGTATTCGTTGTCCTTTTTGTCTTGATTCATTTCAGAAAATTTTGTGTGTTTTATTTCTAAGTACTTTCCCCATCACTAGACTCCACATTCCAGAGACACTAATTCATTGTCCTCACTCTGTGCCCTCACCTGTGTGCTCCCCTCTGCACCAACGGGCTCCGTTTCCGGCTGCTCTTGCTGTAGTTGCTGGCCTGCAGAGCTGAGACGTGTCTTCCATCTTTTCTGTGATGACTATTATTTGCCTCCTCATTTTGCTTTTTTCCTCTTGTGTTTGATCCCTTGAACTTCTGTTTTTATTAAGTTCCTCCCTGGCTTGCACTGCATTTGGAGAGCGGGCTCTTCTGCTTGTTTTCTCCCAGTCTCCTGAATGCCACATCATCTGACGGCAGGTGTGCACCTTCTCCCTGCCCTTTCTTTCACGCTGAGCTTGGCAGCTGGGTCTGGTGCTCCTCTGCTCTGACTCTTAGTTCTGAGAACCAAGAACAGAGGTTGAGCAGTTACTCTTAACACTCACTGGTGCTATTACTGGACTGTTGCAAAGCCCTGTGGGATATGACTGCCATCATCCCATTTAGAGAAAGGGACCCTGAGGCGCAGAGAGGTCAGGCCATCGCACATCACAGGGTCAGAGAGTGGCAGGTGGCTGTGAATGCCTCTTCTAGTTCGAACGCTGGGACCCTCCACTGGCCGAGTGTGCCGCCGGGCTCCAGGCTGAGTGCAGGGCCAATGGATCACAGCTCCCAGGAGCTCCCTCTTCTGAGCTCCAGTGCCCTTGTGGTTGAGATCACCCACTTCAGCCCTGTCGGCCCTGTCTCTGGCTGCGGCTGCCTGAATTTGGAAGGGGTCCTTCTGGTTTTCAGAGGGAAGGGGTCTTTGAGGATCAACAGTGGCTTCTCAGTCTTGCTTGGGTTTCCCACCACCATCTCCACACGTCTTCCCAAGCTGGGGGCTCAGAGGGTGTTTGCAGGGTCGCAGCTGTGTCTGGGGTAGGGAAGGGCAGGCTTTGTGCCAGAGATCCGGTGCAGCCTCATTTGCTCTCTGCTGCTGGATTACTCTGGTTTGATCATGTTTGTGGATTTTAGAACATTTTTGATCCTTTGGTCCCGTTGGGAGGCAGTTCGCCTGCTCCACTCGCCTTGTTAACCTGGAGCTCTGGCACACCTGGTGTTGGCCACGCAGCCGCGAGGATCGCAGCGTGGAGGGGAATCCTGGGATCCATAAGCCCTCTCCTCACTAGCAGGGCCAACCGTGGAGGACCGAGCAGCCACCATCATCCAGTGTGCCTTCCGGAAACTCCTGGCGAGAAAGGAGCTGGCCCGCCGTCAGCAGGAGCACCAGGACTACCAGGAGCTGATGGAGAAGCTGCAGAGGGAGGTGAGGTCAGGTGGGGCTGGGGGCGGGGACACAGGCCCGGGGGCGGGAACTGTAGGGCTGGGGGCGGGACACAGGGCCACGGGGCGGGAACTGTGGGCTGGGGGCGGGGACGCAGGGCTGAGCGGTGGGCACACTGGACCGCCCGCAGGCCTTCGTGGCCCAGGTTCGGCGTGAGCAGGAGGCGGCCCGGCGACGGCAGGAAGAAGCGGCTGCGGCCGAGCGGCGGCGGCAGGAGGAGCGGCTGCGCGGGGCGCGCCTGCTGGAGGCGGCCTTCGACGGGAACCTGGGCGAGATCCAGGCGGTCCTGCAGGAGGTGGGCGGCGGGGCGGCGGGGCTGCGGGTCCTGAGCTTGGGGCGCCGCTGACCGCCGCCTGGCTCAGGTGGATGAGCTGCTGACCCGCGAGGGCGTGGGCTGCGACGCGGCGGGGATGGCGCGGCGGCTGCAGTGGCGCTTGGCCCTGGTGGACTTTGAGGACGGTGGCGGGAACACGCCACTGTCCGAGGCGGCGGCGGGCGGGCAGTCCCTGGCCATCCAGCTGCTGGCCGAACAGGGCGCCAGTCCCAACAGCAAGGTGAGCACCGGGGCCCGCGAGGGCTGGGGGCCGCGCCTCGCCTTGGCAGGCCCTGCTTAGCCAGCGTGTCCCGCAGGGCGCCTTCGGCCGGACCCCACTGTACCGAGCGGCCTTTGGGGGCTACCTGGAAGCCGTGGAGGTGCTTCTGAAGCTCGGAGCTGACCCCCGGATATATGCAGACGACGGGAGCACCCCCGAGCAGGTGCATGAAGGAGGGCAGAACCCCTGCAGGACGCTGGCTCCCCCTCTCCCAAAGCTGTCAGGAGCCTGGTGGCTCTCCCGGCTGGGTCCTGACCTTCCTGGACCCAGTAGACCTTCTCCCTACGGAAGTCCTCGCTGTGAGCTTTCCCGGGAACATGCCATCAAGACTACAGCTCCCGACTTCCCTGGGCCTCTGGTCAGGGTTCTTCTCTTCTCCCTGGACCCTCAGTCCACCTTAGAAGTACTGTTTCCAAGGAAGGTGGGGAAACAGCAAGGCTCCTGGGGGCAGTGCGGGGGCCCAGGGGTTAAGGGCAGCATTCGGCCTGCCCATCTGGACCCTCACCCTCAGAATTTCCCCGTTTCTGAGAAAATTGATCCCTAAGCCCCTGCCCCAGGGTGCCTCGGCCTGGCAGCTCCTCCCTGGCATCTGGAAGCAGCACCAGGGCCTTTTCCCAGGCCCTCTGCTGGAAACCAGGGCGGGGCTGGATTTCTCCCGGGCCCAGGAGGCCTGGTCAGATAGGTGGCCCAGGACCTCTGGGAACAGCTGTGAAAACAGGCCAGTGCCACCACCTTCTTTAAGTGAGTCTGAGTTGAGTCTCAAGCCCTGCCCTGCCCCACCCCTGGTCCTGTTCCAGGGTTGCCCTTTGTCCTTCCCTCTGCTCTTCTCTGCTCTTTGATAAGCAACAGAGCAGGTTTTAAAAGACCAGCAGAGCCTTTGGCCTCAGACTACTCCTGCTTCCAGGCCAGACGAAGGAACAATAGTGAGGCCAGGAGGACGGAAGGGCCTGGCCACAGCCTCAGGGGGGCTGGAGGGAGGAGCGCATAGGGAGGCCCACCCTTCAGATGCTCTTGCCCTGGTGGGCCCAGGGCAGGGCTGGAGAAGCATGCAGGCTGAGGGGTGTTGGGGAGGACGTGGAACCCACTGGTACCTGAGTTGTGGGGGGTGTGCAGGGGGCACTGAGAGGAGCAGCACACAGCTGGGCAGGGGGGAGCAGGAGTCCTCTGGCTGTGGGGGGGTACAGGACAGTTTAAGAGGTGGTGCTGGAGCAATTGGATGTCCACAGGCGAAGGAATGAACCTCGACCTAAACGTTGCACCCTATAAAGAGACTAACTCTTGGATGCATGAGACAAGTGCTCGGGCCTGGTGCACTGGGAAGACCCAGAGGGATCGGGTGGAGAGGGAGGTGGGAGGGGGGACCGGGATGGGGAATACATGTAAATCCATGGCTAATTCATTTCAATGTATGACAAAAACCACTGCAACATTGTAAAGGAATTAGCCTCCAACTAATAAAAATAAATGGAAAAAAAAAAGAGACTAACTCAAAGTGGATTATGGATTTAAATGCAAACATAAACTCTAAAACATATAGACGGGCACAAGAGAAAATCTCTGGGAAAGATTTCTTAGACAAAAAGCACAGTCAATATATAAAATAAAAATACCCCAACAAATTGAGCTTCATCAAAATGTAAAACTTTTGCTCTGCTGAAGCCCTGTTAAGTGGATGAAAAGACAAGCCACAGAGAGGGAGAAAAATCCTTGCAGACCACACATCTGACCAAGGACCCGTATTTACAACATTTAGACAACTCTCAAAACTCAATGGTGAGTCACACGATCCAGTGGCTCTATGTACAAAACTGATGCGCTTCTGCTGCACACCTGAGACTAACACGGCACTGAGGCAGCTCTACTCTAACAAAAACTCTAAAGAGAGAGAGTGCCAGAGGTGTGTAGGGGGCCTTTGGGGATCCAGGGAATGCCAAGTGTCTCCTGCTTGTGAGGAAATGCCTCGAAGCTGGGGACAGAGCACCTGTCAGGACGGAAGGAGGGAGTACCTAGCCTGTCTTCCGCAGCCTGGGCAGGAGCTCTCACTGTCCTTGCAGCACTGGCTGGGGCGCTTGGAAGAACCTTGCCTCAGTAGTGAGGATGAATGCTGCTCTGGCGCAGCCTCACCAATCTTAAGGCAAGACCCAAACGGTAAAACTTCCCAGGTAATTTAACTGTATGCCAAAATTCAAGAATATGTATAGAGATACAAAATATACAGCTCCTAACAAGACGAAATGCACACTGTCTAGCACCAATTAAAGATTACCAGGCATACAAAGGTGCAGAAAAATATGACCATGAGAAAACCTGACCAGTCAAGACAAATGAACTGACGTGGATGTCAGAGTTAGTGAAAAGACTTGTAAAAAGCTATTGTTACTGTATTCCAGATGCTCAAAAAATTGAATAGAGAATGGAAGACATAAAAAAATTATAGACAGTGTCTGAGATGAGAAACAAAAAGCTGTGGATGAGATTAATGTCAACTTAGAACAGAGGTAAAGGTTACTGAATTTGAGGCTTACAAAATAGAAACTACTACAAGTGAAAATACTCAGAAGAGAGAAGGAATTCTTCCAAGTGATGAGTATCCACGAGCTGTGGACAGTTTCAGGAGGCCTACTGTGTATGTAGAGTCTCCAAAGGAGAGAAGAGACAGAAAAACATATACTTGAAGAAATCATAACCTTAAGGCTTCCTAATTTGATGAAAGGTATAAACTGTATTCCTCAAATCTCAATAAACAAGAAACAGGAAGAAAAATCAGGCTAAGGCACAGTGTGATAAAATTTCTCAAGGTCAGTGATGAAGAGAAATCTTAAAAGCAGCCAGAGGAAAAAAGACATAGGAAAACAAAGATAAGGATTATGGCAGACTTCTTGTTGGAAAGTGTGGAAGTGAGGAGAGAGTGGGGCAGCGTCTTTAATGGTACTGAAGAAGGAAACAAGTCTTGTCAACCTTGAATGCTATACTCAGTGTCTTTCATAACTGAAGGCAAAATAAAGACATACCTTTGCAGACACACAAAAGCTGAAAGACTCAATCACCAGTGGACTCACACTATAAGAAACATTAAAGGAAGACGTACCAATAGAAGGGATGCCAGATGGAAATATGGATCCACTCAAAAGAGTGAGGAGCACTAGAAAGGGTAACTACATAGGTAAATATATGAGATATTGCCTTATTATTTAAACTTACTGAGAAGGTAGTTGAAACAAAAAATAATGGCATGTGTCATGTGGTTTTATAACGCATGGAGGTACACATACTGAAAATTGCACAAATTATAGTTGTTAGGTTCAGCCATGTGACACAAATATAAAGGTTGGCAAGGGGAAATGAAACATATACTGTGGAAGGTTCTTGTATGTGAAGTGGTACAATATAATTTAAAGGTAGACTGTCATAAGTTACAGGTATATGTATGCTGAAAGCCCTAAAGCAACTACTAAATATTGGTAGAGTTATAGTGCAAAAAAGAGAGGAAAAGGAAGATAAAGAATATGTAGAACCAGTAGAAAACAATAGCAAAGGGTAATTTTAAACTCAGCCATATCAATAGCTTCATTAAGTGTAGAAGGTCAAAAGACCCCAATTAAAAGGCAGATTGTCTTTTGGATTAAAAAAAAAAATCAACTATAGTGACTTGCTGGTGGTCCAGTGATTGAGAATCTACTTTCCAATGAAGGAGATGCAGGTTTGATCCCTCGACGGGGAGCCAAGACCCCACGTGTGGAGGAGCAGCTCATCCAGGCACCGACCCCACTCCAGCACCTGTGAGTCACAGCCGGAGACGGCCGTGCCGCAGCAGAGGGCTTCATGCCGGGCTGACGACCCGGTACAGCCAAATGAGTACATGTTTCTTAAAAATTCAACAGTATTTTGCCAAAACAAACTTTAAAGACACAAACAGGAGAAAATTAAAAGGACAGGACAAATGTGCTGGGATCACACTAAATATATGAAAGCTGAAATGATATTAACATCAGAAAAAGTAGACTTCAGAACAGAGAATATTACTGGGGAGAAAAGAATAAGGACAAAGGATTCATCAAGAGGACAAAAGAATCCTGAATGTTTTTTTGCAGCTACTAACAGAGCTTCCAAGTACGTGAAGCAAAAACAGAGAACTACAAGAACTAAATCCGCAATTATAGTAGCAGATTTGAGCATTCCTACCTCAGCAACTGGTGAAACAAGTAGACAGAGAAGTCAGTAATAATGTGGTGGTTTAGTCGCTGAGTCGTGGTCGGCTTTTGTGACCCCAAGGACTGTAGCCCACCAGGTTCCTCTGTCCATGGGATTTTCCAGGCAAGAATACTGGAGTGGGTTGCCATTTCCTTCTCCAGGGGATCTTCCGAACCCAGGAATCGAACCTGGGTGTCCTGCACTGCAGGCAGATTCTTTACTGACTGAACCACAAGGGAAGCTGTAATAATTCTGTAAAACTGAGTGACCTAGCCACTAGTTTTGCCTTTGTCCACCATCCCTTCATCCCTCATCTGTCCCTCTATCATTGTTTTCATAAGTTTATCCACTCAATCCAATCTTTTTTCCCCAAAGTAGATTTACTCTTTCATCAATTCATAACATTTTCTCATTAGCTTATGAGTCATTTATTAATAAACTTGCTGGTCTGGCTACTTGCTACTGTATTCGTTTTACCCTTCCTACCATCTTAAGCCATCCTCATTTATTCATGTATTAAACTACTATCAATTCACACAGCTATCCATCCATACATTCACACACCCACTCATGCTGTTTACTTGAGAAGTAAGTTTTGAGGGAAAAAAATTTTTTTTAATTCTCTTTAAAAAATTTTATTAGGCTGCACCGGGTTTTAGTTGTGGTGTGTAGGATCTAGTTCACTGACCAGGGATTCATCCTGCATTGAGGGCAAGGAGTCTTAGCCGCTGGGCCAGCAGGGATGTCCCATACTTGAGAGGAAATTTTGAGAAAGCAGGGACTATGCCAGTTCACTCCATAACTGTGTTCCCAATGTCATGCGTTTTGGTTGTCACAGGAAAGGCACTCACAAGTTGTGTCAAATGATTGGATTCACCCTTCATCTATCCATTTGTTCAACCAACCATTTTCTTATCTAAGTTATTCATCCATTAAATCCCTTCATCTATTAATTTTTATGTATCAATTCATTATTTCATCCGTTCATTCAATTAACCCAGGAATCCTTCATTCTTTTATCATTTAGTTCATTAACTTAGTCATCAGCTCCATCTGTCCATTTCTCTCATCTCTGATTTTGCACCATCTTTGAACTTTCTTTTTAAATACAAACCACATACTGAACATTGTACAAATCAAAGTTGTGTGGCTCGATTAAACCCAGATTAACCTCCTGAGTCCAGAAATGAATGGCTGCCAGGCCCCTGTGCCCCATGCTGAGAAGCCCACATCCTGCGGCCCCTTCCTAACTCTGCAGGAGCGATGGGGCCTGGGATGGGTGCAGAGGAGGGCTGTGTCCTACAGATGGAGGTCTGCGGGGGGACAGCAAAGGCTGCAGCCAGGGACCTTGCAGTGGGGGCTTGTGGGCGAGGTGTGGAGGAGGGCAGGTGGGGGGATGCAGAGCCTGAGGTTTTGGGAGGGAGGCCGTGGGGACCCTCCAGGGCCTGGCGTTGCAGGTGCTGATCACGACGGTCAAGGCTCCGGGCCCCGCCCTGGCCCACCATCAGGGCTGCCTTTCTGCCCTGGGGTGTCCTGTCTGAAGTGGGAATGTAGCACCTCCCCAGGTCAAAAACAGGCGGCCTGAGTCCTTGACCAGTGGCTTCTGTCACTAGGTGGCCTCACTGGACACGGTGGTCAGCGTGCTGCAGTCGTGGGACCTGAGCCTCACAGACGCCATGCTCCGGAACATGGAGGCTGAGCGGGAGCGCCGGGCACGGGAGGCCGCACGGCACAAGGAGGCGGAGGCCCAACGGTGCGGCGAGTGGGAGGCGGGGGGGCTGGCCTGGAGCTGCTCTGACCGCCCCCCTCCACCACAGCATGAACCTCAAAACACAGCAGCTGGCCAAGAAGCAGCAGCAATGTCACCAGCAGGTGAGCCGCTCGCCCCCAGAGGGGAGGGCAGACAGGCGGAGAGCTGGGAGTGTGGAGGCGCCCTGCGGACCCCCAACCTGATCCAGAGGTCGGCTCGCCCCCTGCCCCCCAGCTGCAGCAGGCCTACTGTGAGCTCAACCGGAGGATCGCGGAGCATGACAAGTGTGAGCGGAGGGGCGCGGGCCTGGCCAAGCTCACACTGCAGGTTGGCTTCTTCCCCTCCGACCTGGGGAGCCCCACCCCTGGGCTGTCAGCTTTTCCAGCAGCCACCTCTTGGGGTGGGGCGCCCCCTCTTCCTTAGGGGTCCCAGCTGCGCATGGCAGGTGGGTGTTGGAGTCCAACCTTGCTCTGAGCAGAGCGTTGGGGCCCCCCTCTAGGCCATCAAGGATGCAGAGGAGCAAGTGGACAGGCTCCAGCAGGAGGCCCAGAAGGCAGAGGAGGCCCTGGCCCTGGCCAGGCTGGAGCTGCGGGAGCAGACCCAGGAGGGTGGGTGGGGTTGGGCTGGGGCTGGAGGTGGGAGGGCCCCCTGGGGGGCATCTGGGCCGCCCCACATTTACACCCCCACAGCGGAGGAGGAGGTGCCCGGGCTGAAGTGCCAGGTCAGTGAGCTCCACGATGTGCTGATGAAGGACGTGGGTGACCGCATCCGCACAGACGGCAGGTCAGTGGTCCCGGCTGTCCAGGGGCGGGCTGGCGGTTCTAGTAGACGGCAGTGACCTGGAGGCCGCCCCCCAGGTGGCCTCTTGTCATCGACCCTTCGGGCCAGGCGGCCACCTTCCTGCGCTATCAGGACACCAACTACGTGGACGCCGTGAACCCCGACCACCTGCGGCCAGAGAGGATCCGGCTGGCCCTGCTGGGGGCGCTCAGGTGAGGTGGGCGGAGGGCAGGCACCCGGACGCCATGCCCACTCCCGCCCCAGCCCTCACTGCCCAGGGCCCGTGCTGTTCCCGCAGGTTCGGGAAGCCGCTGGTGTTTGACCTGCGCGAGGTGGATCTGTTCCCGGCCGTGCAGCGGCAGCTGGAGGCGGTGCAGCCGGGCCTGGCGCAGGAGCTGCTGGGCCGCGGTCTGCTGGAGCAGGAGAGGTACCTATCGCTGCTGCGGCCGACAGATGGGCCCGAGTACGGCCCCAATCAGTTCCAGGAGGCGCGCCTGCAGCACTTCCGCCTGCTCTTCGTCACCAAGGTTCGGTGGCCGCCGGCTGAGCAACTGCAGGTCCTCCTGCCTGTGCGCGTGCAGCTGCCGGGCGGGGCCTCTAGTAGCCCTCCCCAATAAAGGGCCCGCCCCCGGACGACGTGTGCGCCTTCTCTGTGCCCGAGCGCGCCATGCCGGGGAGCGCGCCTTGGGGGTGGGGAAGGCAGTCCCCCAGCCCCCCTCCTGCTGGGGGGCGGCCCAGTCTGGGTGAGCCACCTGGAGGCTTGAGTCCCCGCACCCGCTGCCCCCAGATTGGGAGGGACAGAGGGGTGCACATTCGTGTGCCAGCAGGTGGACAGAGTAAGATGGACAAGACGTAAAACGTAGTCAATTTTATTCTCCTTAAACCACAAAATAGAGTCTTTGGTTGTACAAACATCACTAGTTACAGTCTCGCCAGGAGGTCCCGGCTGGGGAGGGGGCAGTTAGTCAGTGGCCAGAACTCCTCAGGGGACCTCTTTAAAATGCTACCGGCCGGGTTAAAAGACTCGGGGCGAGGGTGGTGTTGGCGCTGGCAGGGCCCCCACCCCAAGTCGGGGGAGGCACCCCACCCCTCTAGGAGGGTACTGGGCCCAGGCCCCGGCGCCCTGGCCGCACAGCCCGGCGGCTGCTGCACAAGGCCACCTCCTCGGGACCCGCGGAGCCTGGAGAGGGCCTGCCCAGAAGCACCATGGCCACCTCTCCATCCTCCTCTGGCAGACCTGCAGGCGGGGGCAGGGAGCGAGTGAGCCGGTGGGCCTGGCACCCTGGAGCATGGCGGGGGGCTGGGGGGCCGCGGGCCTGCCAACTCACCGGGGCTTGGAGGTGGTTCCAAGGACCTCAGCTCCTCAGTGAAATCTGGGGACTGCGAGGGGGAAAGGGGCTGGTCAGGGCCTACCCAGACCTGCCTGAAGCCCCCCCAGGAGCCTGGGTGGGTCCCTGCGGAGCCCTGGCTTTTGGGGGACAGGGAGGGTACAGAGCAGGGGACAGGCTGGGAGACAGGCTCAGCAGAAAGCGGCAGGAGCCCGTCAGGGCGTCCTGCAGAAGGGCCGGAGGACCCGGTACCTGCATGTCATAGACAGGTCTGGAAGAGGGGAGGGCGGCAAACACCCTGTAGTCAAACTTCCTCCCAGACAAGGCCTTGAAAGGACAGCGTGAGGAGAGAGGCAGAGAGCGTAAGAAGAAGAGAGGGTGGGAGCCTGGATCCCTGCCCCGCCAGGGGAGGAAGGCAGGGGAGGGCGGCAGCTGCTGGTTCCTCACCAATCGTCCTGGGGAGGTGCCGGTCTGGGGGCCGAGGTCTGGAGGGACAAGAAGGGGGCGTCGGGAGAGGTCCGCACCGCAGGCTGGGACCTCGCCTCCCGCTCAACGCACAGACCTTCCAAGGGGGTGGGTGACGGGGTGGGCGCGGGCGAGGGGGCCTCGGCCAGGCGCTCCAGGGGCCCCCGCTTGCTTCGGCCCTCCTGGGACTTGCTGAGGACCATCTGTGCGCGGAGGGCGTCCTGCTCCAGAGACTTCATCCTGTGGGCGGGCGGACAGCGGGCAGCGAAGGGCGGGGCAGGCAGCGGGCGGGGGCGGGCGCAGGCAGCGGAGAGTGGGGCGGGGCGGGGCCTCACCTGGCCGCCCTCCACAGCGCCCGCTTCTCCGCCTCCAGGGCGCGGCGCTCAGCTGGGGACAGGGCCCGCTCTGGGGCCGGCAGCTCGGGGCTCTGCACGCGAAGCCGCTCCTGATGGCGCCGCTCGGCCTTGGCCGTCCGCACTGGGGCCCCGCCTCCCTGCGGTGGGGGAGACGCGGGGCCGAGCCTGGGCCGGGCGACAGGACAGGAGGGCCGGGTGGAGGGACGCTGGGCACGGGCGGAGGGGCGCTCAGGGCAAGGACTGGGGCGGCCCTCCCCCGCCTCACCCTTCAGCCGCGGGGCCCTGGCCGGCCCAGGGTGGCTCCTCCTCAGGCTCCTCGTCCTCGGGAGCATCAGCTTCTGGGTGCACCGTGTCAGCCGCTGCCTCGCGCAGCATCTGTGCCCTCTTCTGCTGTAGCTTGCGGGCTAGGGGAGCGGAGGGTCAGGCCGCGAGCTGGTGTCCCCCCTCCCCCCGCCACCCGCCATGGCCGCCTGCTCACCCTCCTCCTCCTGCATCTTCCGCAGGTCGTCAGCGCCCACCAGCGACACGCGCTTAGGGGGGCCCTCGGCCTGGGGCACCCGCATCTCCAGCTCGAAGTATTTCTGCCGCTCGCGGAAGGACAGCTGCTCCGGCGAGGCCGTGGGCCCAGGCATGGGGGGCTGGGGGAAGCGCTCCCTGAGACCCGGCCCCTCGGGTGTCACACCTTCACAGTCGCACGCAGCGGGGCACCTGAGGGCTGCCCACCACCTACCTGGGCAGGGGTGTCCAGAGGTGGGTGTAGGCCGGGCACAGCCGCGAATGTCCTATAGGCTTGCTTCACGTTGGCCGGCAGCTCAGCAGGGGAGGGCGGGGACGGGGGCTGGGGACGGGCGCAGTGAGCTGAGCAGGGACAGCTGTCCCTGCAGCACCGCCCACCCCACCACCAGCTGTCCTTGCTGACTGCCCCCATCCCTGCCCCGTGGATCAGGGCACTCACAGGCTGGGGACCACCTCTGCCCCTGGGGGCCAGGGAGCCCCTTGGCCAGGCCTGAGCCAGTGGCTGGATCACCCCAGGCTTTATCTGCAAAGGGGTTCAGGTGGGGGGTGTGAGGGACGGGGTGGGGCAGAGAGACAGCGCCAAGGTGGGCGGCTGGGTGCCCAGGAGGTGAGGCCAACACTTACCCATCTGCTGCCCGTTAGGAAGGGGCAGAGGCTGGGCAGTGGGCTCCAAGCTGGCACCGCAGCATCTGCCCCAGCCCTGCCCCCAGGCCTGGCCCTCCCCAAGCAGCGGAACCAGGGAGCCTCTCTGCAGGCAGGTGGGGGCTCGGGGCAGGGTGGAGGGGCCTCCGGGGACTCCCAGACATGAAGAGAGATGGGGGCAAAACAACCAGGCACTGGGGAAGGCCGGCCTGACCCCCAGCCCCCCTCTGCCCAGGAGGCCAAAGGGAGCTCTCCAGCCCGTGATACCAGCCAGCTGGGCCAGGAAGGGGTCTGCAGGCCATCCCTCTGTGGGATGGCAGCTGGGGGAGGGGTGTGCCCTGGCACCCCTCCCAGAAGGAGCGGACTCTGCACACAGCACCCCTCTGCAGTCCCCCTGCCGTGTGTACTCACCTGCTGGTGGCCAGGGGAGCAGGGGACCTCAGCCATCTCTCCACTTCCAGGCAGGGCTGGGGGCCCCTTAGGAGGAGGTGGGGGGGGTGACTGCCTCAGTAGCACAAAGGCTAGTCCTCAACTCCCTGACCTGAGCAGCCCCGAGACATCTGAGACGGATGGGCTGGGCTTCCCCTGGGTGGGGTGGCCACCCTCCCCGTGAGCCTCAGAGGCCCGTCAGCCAGGGAGGCCCGCCCCCTGCAAGCCACCTCCAGCTGTGCCTCTTTCTGACGGGGGACACTGGGCCCCCTCCCCTCCTGAGGGCTTCCTGCTCTTGCCTGTGTTGGGCTGAGCACAAAACCCCTGAGCAGGCTCACTCAGCCCCCAGCCAGCACAGTTCCCTACCAGCCCTGCGGGGTCTCCCAGCAGCAGCTGGTACTGGGCAGCCCGCCCTCCAGGCAAGGGCTGAGAACCACAGGCCTGCGCCCAGGGCCCTGCCCCCACTGCAGTGCAGGCCCGCCTCCCAGCCTGCTCCCCTATGACGGCTCCTCCGGTGGCCCCTGGGCCCACAGCCCTCTGCTCTGCCTCCAGTCTGCCTCTGGGGGGTGGCGGGGGGCAGGTGGCAGCGGGTGCATCACGGTTGGGCTCAGGGGTGGAGGAAGACAGACACATGCCAGGCTGGGGGTGGCGCTCCAGCTCGGGCACCCTGGCCAGTCCCTGCCCCGCACGAGGGCCCTTTGAGGCCCTCAGCCCTCTCCCCGGGGGGGCAGAATGCTGGCAGAGCTCTGTCCTGCAAGGCCTCAGGTGAAGGGAAGGAGGTAAGACGGGGGTAGGACTGACGGACAAGTGGGCAGAGGCCGGGACAGGGGTGTGACGACCAGGGACTGACCCTCTGCACGCTGCCGGTGCCAGGGGTGGCAGCTGGGACTTGGCAGGCTGGTTTCAGGCTCTCTGGGCTCCAACCCTGGGGGTAAAGTAGACACAGGGTTGCCAGGGCCGTGCTTGCCAGAGTGCGGGATGGGCAGCCAGGCCCGGGGATGCTGGGCTGTGGGGAGGAGCCCGCCATGCGGGTTGGGAGGGCCTGGGCACTCACCGTGGCCTCCGGGCCCCACAGTGGGATCTGTCCGGGCAGCTCCTTCTCCTGTGAGCAGAGGAGACAGTGGTCGGGGCCGATGGCCTTAGGCTCCCAGCCCAGGGGCTGCGGGCGGCTCTGACCTTGGCGGGGCCCTCAGGGCTCAGCTCCCGGTCGATGGAGGAGATGCTTTCCAGGCTGTTCCGACGGCCAAGGCCAGCAGCGAAGGGGTTGGCGATGACGCCTGGGGACACCTGCAGGGGAGGGGCGGAGTGACCACACTTGAGACAACCTCTGGGGTGGGCTCTGCTCGCTCAGGACTCCATGCTACCATCGCATCTGTGCCCAGGGCACCCACAGGTCACGTCTGCACACCACGCTCCAGAGGACATGGCAATGCGGGGCACTGGGTGAGAGAGGGCGGCCGTGGACACGCACCCTGGGAGCACAGAGCCGACAAGGTGGTGGGGGCAGTGAGGAGCCCTGCAGCACAGAGGGGCTGCGGCCAAAGTCCAGCGGAAGGAGGCCGACAGATTCCTGACATTGGAAAAGGTCCTTTAAAGGAGGAAGACTTGACTGTGGTGTTGACCAGAGTGATGATGATGGCAGACCTGAACACGCACTTCTCCAGCGTAAGCGACGATCAGGACGTGAAAGGTGCCCGCTCACAGGCACAACCCAGCCCCCGAGCAGTCCTGAGACCCTAGCAGCCAGGCACTCCCGGTGCCCACATCCCAGCTCCTAAATAGCCCTGTCCACTAAGGGAACCAGTGCTCCTTGGAGAAAGAAGGTGTGGGAAAGTGAGGTGACCCCAGACTTCCTGCTGTGCTAGAAAGGAGGCTGCCTGAGGGAGGTGGGCCAGGGCCCCACCTGGGCCCTGGCCAGAGCCCTCCAACAGGGCCTCGGGCCAGCCAGAAGCCCTCTCGTCAGCTCCGTCTGGATGGCTGGAGCACCAGATATCAACAGCAGCAGTGACAACTCTCATCACGAGATAAAAGGGGAAATCTGCGCTAAGGAAGGCGCCGCCCAGTGCCTGTGGAAGGAGCGGTGGGAAGGGCGCGAGACTGCCCTGGGGCTGATGAGGGCCTCCTCCCCAAGCACCCGCACAGCGCCTGTCAGTTCCCGGGGGAAAGTGTCAGCTGGCGGGGCGACCCAGAGACACCCCCATGCAGGCAGCACCACCCGTGGGTCTGGTGGGAGGCCCTCCGACAGTGTGAGCTCTGTGATAAGTCTGCCAAAATGCAGCCATTGCAGCTCGTCCTGAGGAGGCACTGGACAGAGCCCAGTGAGCGCCATCCGTGCCATGATGGCCTGCGCTCACCTGAAGCTCCAGGTCAGGCTGGGAGACAACCAGATGCCCACATGCCTTGTGGCTCTAAAGGTCGCCTTGGACCGTTGGTGGGAGGCATGCAGGGCCTCTGAGTGAGAGGTCCTGTCTACTTACTGTCCTTGACACTTTTCTTCAACTCTAAAATTGTCAATACTTTATCTACTTGCTTGTATCTTTCAAAACAGAAATAACAGCAGGAGAAACCACACTAATGCAGATGCTGGCCTGAGGGGCACCGAGAGGGGATTCAGACTCCTGGAGGGGCTGTATTCACAGCTGGCAAAGGTTTAACGTGAGCAGCTGGTCTGTCCTCCCAGCCGCGCTGCTCACCTGCAGGGTCTTCGCTCCTGGACTGGAGACTGACCTCGCGACGCAGCAGTGAGCACACCATATCCCACCCCCCAGATCGCAGGGAAGCTCCCAGGAAACTCCACTTTTAAAGTCATCTTTAAGAACTGAAAATGAGTTCTGGGCTTCCCTAGTGGCCCAGTGGTTAAGAATTCACCTATCAATGCAGGGGACATAGGCTCGATCCTGTGCCAGGAAGATCCCACATGCCGCAGAGCAGCTAAGCCCATGAACCACCAACTACTGAATCCAGGGTCTAGGGTCTGTGCTTCCCAACAAGAGAAGCCACCTCAGTGAGAAGTCAGTGCACAGCAACAAGACCAGCGCAGCCAAAAATAAAACTTAAACAAAGATAAGCCTAACTATATGACAAGCTGGCAGTAGAACAATACGGAGAATTATTTCCAAGTGACGTAACATAGTATTTTGACTATACCTCTTAAGTGGATAAATCCTAAGGACATAAAGAAATGTTAAAATGCTATTAATGGTCTTATTACTAGTAATAACATTGATATGGCTTTTTGAAATCAATAATTATGATATTAATTTAATAAAATGACTTTTAAGGTGAGAAAAAGAGACACAAATATAAAGTCAAAAGAATCAAAGCCTCCTGTCCTTAAGCATGGGTTGAAAGTAACCACCTCACAGATTTCTTCCCCTAGAAGCCTGTGTGCTGGGGAGGCCCAAGGAGCACGGCCTCCAGGACCAGCAGTGATGGCCTGAACCCCACACCAGGGCTGGGGCAGGAGACACAGGGATGCCTGGGTGCACCATCAAGCCGGTATGTCACTGGCTTGTCACCACGGTGCCCACGTGGGCACCCTGCCTCACAAGGACGGCAAAGACCAAAAAGCAGTCACCCTGGGGGTTTCCAGGGCAGCCACTTGTTATTTAAAAATCAACGAATGAAAGGAAAGAATCAGAGTGTTTACCACACATCTCCTATAAAAAATCTTATTTTAGGATAAAAAATAGCTGATAAAGTTTCGTCTTTACAGAAAGGTCATTAGAATGACTGAAAGCACTAGATGAGGAAGGAGTAACTGAGGCAGTCTTCCTTCGGTCAGTAATCAAGGAAACATAGAAAAGAAAGGCAGTCTTGATCAAAATCCAAAAGGTGGTTTTTCTGAGAAGGCTGCTAAAATATACAAAACTTTGGTGAGTGTGATGGGGAGGAAGAGATGGCAGAAATCAGATCAAGACGGTGACAGGACCACAGAAGTGGAGGGGAGGAGACAGAATGTTCTGGATTTTGCACCAAACATGTTGAGCACCAGTCAGCAAGCTCTTGGAAGTGCACAGCGGCCCCTGCAGCGCTGCCCCCAGCTGGCCACCAGGCCCGCCCGCTGGGGCGGGGCCCTGGGGGCAGCGGCCGGCACAGAGCACAGACAGGCAGGTCCTGATGCCAGCCCGCCGCCTGCCGTGCAGAGGTTGGGGAGGAGGCCAGGGCACAGCTGATGTGAAGATGGGCTGGCAGAACCCAAAGTTTGGAGAGATGGCTGTGAACCCTCATTCCTACAGAGGTTGAACGGGTCACCACAGAGGAAGCAGGTGGGCTGAGGTTAAGAGAAATGGGGCTGGGTAGATGACTGGTGTCCTGACAGATACATGTCACCCCTTTTTCTTTCAAGCTGCAAGCTAGCTGGAGGAAACCTGTGGGCTGCACCTCCTCGTACTTGGCACAGGGCTGTAAAAGCCACCAATAAAAGGACTCCAGAAAACTCAGCACTCCTTTCAGAGAAAATTCTTACAGGTTATAAATGGAAACAGCCCTCCAAGTTTAAAAGAATGTTATATAAACTACCACCTCTAAGTCGGCACAAGGCAAGGTCACTGTCCACCATCACCAGGTTCCCAGGGGGACAGAGGAGCCTGACCTCCCAGGAAAAGGGGACCCGCAGCCACCACCTGGGCCTCAGGGTTTCCTCCTGGAGATGCAACAAAGTCACTGATGAGAATCAACAAGAAAGCAAGAGCAACCTAGGAATGTGCCTGGAGAAACATTACTCACAGTTACAGAGCTCAAAGTTAACCCCTAGGTCCCAACCAACTTATAGAATTGGCAGGTCCATTTGGAAAAGAAAACACATGAAAACGAACTAAAAGTTGTCAAAAGGAGAAAAAAGAGTGTGTGATTTCACCAGTTAGGTCTCCTGAAACACACTCTAAAGTGGCCACACCGATGTCAGCAGCATCGGCTCAAGAACATGGCCAGCTCCTGGGGCCACGGGATGCGGATGCAACCCACAAGGAAGTCAGACCTATCCCGATCAGTGGGAAAGTGATGGACGGTTCAGTGCATTCCACAAGGGATGGAAGATCCACTTGCTTAAGAAGCAATTGCAGTGGGTTGTAGTGCTCTGTTTTCTAAAAAATAGCTTTGACAATCTTGCCCCAGAGAGGGTTTTCATAATCAATCCAGACATTATGAAGAAGGTTAGAAGATGTCACTCACAGTCTCAACGTTTCTATAACCCCAGAGAGGCCATTGTGAAGGAGCAAAAGACAAAACCCACTCATGCCCTACGCAACAAAAAACAGAAGCTTACAACGCAAAAGACGAACTGTGAGATACATGAGTCACACGTCAAAGGACGCCAGGTCCATGGAGACAAGCGGGTACCACCTGAGGCTGGGCGGGGGTGGGGCAAGCCTGCGGCCTCGGGCCCAACACCCCTTCATCCAGGGTGCTGTCCTGCAGAAACCCCCCCAAAAGCATCAAGACGGGCTCTGAGCACTCTGGTTGGAAACACAGCACAGACAAAGCAACCCAGGGAGAGGTGGCCAGACAGTCAGAAGAGCCCAGGGAGGCCTCCGTAAAGCGGGGGAGACACCTGTTCTGCTCTTTGCCCTGGCGTGTATTTGCTCTCTTTGTGCTGAAACCTTAAAAATAAGTACATGTACTGACCGAAACATGTAAGGTCAAACTTTAAATGAGAGAGCAGAAGACACAGCCTTCTTTGGAAAACCTGAGCAGGTTCCTCACCAGAAACGACAGGTTAGGGTTCCTGCAGGCACACAGGGATGAGGGCACAGAGGCCAACACAGGGGGCCCCAGAACCCAGGGAGTGGGGTCCCAGTCCAGTGCTCAGGCAGGAGAAACAAGGACAAACGCACCATCCTTCAAAGTTCAGGAGACAACACACAGAAGAAGGGGGGCCCCGCCTCGGCAGTGCAGGGACAGGGGCAGTAGGCTGCTGTCCCAGAGACCCACTGCAGCCCCATCCCCAGCAAGGAGGCCCTCAGGGAGCTGGCAGCTGCCGCAGGGAACGAGCCCCCGGAGGCGGGGAGGGTGCTGCAGGAGAAGCGGCCCCCCTCGGCGGACGCCGGGAGCCTGGGGGCAGCGGCAGCACAAGACAGCAGGGCCGCCTGAGAGGGCACGGCCCGGCTGGTGCAGGACACAGGTCGGGCTGGACACCAGGCCTCTGCAGCCCAGTCTCGGGCCTGGCAGCCGACACTTCCTCCAGAGGCTGCGACGGAGAACTGGTGGGTCCCCACAGGCCCGCCCAGGCGACTGCGTGGGGACATGGGTCCGGGCCCTGAGCTCCCTAAGGGGCTTGTTAGAAATAGAAAGCAGGCCGGCGCCAGGCCAGCGTGGCAGGCCCCGGGGGTCTGTAGGTGGGCTGTGTCCTGCTCTGGGCCGTCCTGCCCTGGCCTGGCGGCCCCAGGGCCAAACGCTGCTCGCCTGGTTCAACCTTTTCTTTGAAAACGCAACCAGGTCTTCTGTACACACGCTCTGTCCCATCAGGGCCGCGAGCAAGGCCGAGACGAGGGCCTGGCACCCGCAGCGCACGGCTCCCCCAGGTCTGACTCGCAACGGCCAAGCGCATCCCGGCCCCGGCGGACCAGGAGCCTCCCGGCCACACTGGGGCGGGACGCAGCCCCTGTGGCTGAGTGCCAGCCAGGGAACACTGACCTCGGGGGCGGCAGTGCTGGTGTCGAAGCCATCGCAGACCAGCACAGTCAGGGTGTCGCCCACGCTGCGCAGCAGTTGCACGGCCTCGCCGTGTGTCAGGCCCAGTAGGCTCTGCTGGTTCACCTCCAGCAGCCGCAGCCCCACCCGCAGACGGCCGTCTCGCCCAGCTGCTCCCGTGGGGCTCACCTGTGGGGAGACCACTGTGCTCAGGACCAGCCCCGGAGCTGGGCCCCTCCCCGCCCAAGAAGCCCACAGGGCGGGCAGGTGAGCAGGAGCTCACCTTGGAGATGAAAATACCCTCATCAGTGGGGTCGCAGGGGTTTCCGGCGTGGCCCTTGGCGCCCCCACGGATGCTGATGCCCAGCCTCTCCCCGGGGGCCTTCTGGATGCAGAGTTCCCGCATGCCCGGGGGCGGCGGGTCCCTCCGCACGAGCAGTACCAGCTCCAGGCAGGGCCGGAGCAGGGCGCTGACCGCTTCCTGGTGCGTGGCCTCCCGCACATCCTGCCCATTCACTGCCAGGATGCGGTCCCCGACCCGCAGGCCGCTGCGTGCAGCCAGGCCCCGCGGGAGCACCTGTGAGGGGAGGGCCGTGTGCAGTGGGCAGGGGGCTGGGCCACCCTGCACCCTGAGACACCCGCAGGGCCTGCTCTACCTTAGAAATGAACACGCCAGGCTCCTGGACACCGAATGGGTGGCTGGAGTGGTCGGAGCCCCCAACGATGCTGAGCCCCAAGGGGCCCCCCGCTCTGGGCAGACAGATCTCCTGGGAACATGGAGGAACAGGAAGCGTGGCTGGAACAAGCTGAACATTAGAGGGAGCCTTCCCAAGACCAGCGGGCGTGTGAGATCAGGGAGCTCCACCACAGGGAGGCCCTGTGAGGGTGCAGAGAAGACTGCAGGGGGAGGAAGCCCCTACAGAATGATGCCCTGTGTCCTGGAGCCTGAGAGGACAGGGCATAGGCCCTTGTTCTCCCACCAGTGGGGCCAACACCCCACACCTAGAGCTGTGCGGCTGTGGAGAAGGGGGCTGGCTGGTGGGCAGGGTCAGGGCTGTGGTCTCACCTCCACTGGGTACGGCCCCTCCAGGGCAGCGGCCAGCAAACCAGGGGACAGCCTCAGAGGCCCAGGCTCCCCTGGGGCAGCAGTGGGGGGTGGGGAGGAGTGGGGCGGAGGGCTCGGGGCGAGGGGCCCCCCAGCCTCCCGCTCCAGTAACAGGGCGATGGTGGGCGAGGCGGCGGTCAGCAGGGAGACGGCATGGTCGTGCCTGGCCTCGGTCATGTCCACCCCGTTGATCTGCAAGAGTGCAGCCAGTCAGAAGGCCCCAGGGAGAGGGGTGCATGGGTGCTGGGCAGGCCCACCGCCACACTCACAGAAAGGACGCGGTCGCCGACCTGCAGGGTGCCTGCCCGGTGGGCGGCGCCCCCCTCAGCGATGCGGGAGATGAAGATGCCCTGCAGCGGGAGATGGCTAGTGGGTATCTGCAGGCTGGCCAGGCTTGCCCCCTGCCCCGCTCTGCCCCCTGGCCCAGCCTCACCCCGTCGCCGGCCCGGTAGGGCGTGGAGCCTTTCCCGCCTGCGATGCTGAAGCCCAGCCCCTTCTCGCTGCGCACGAGGCAGGCCACGTGGCGCTGGCGGGGGGGCCTGGGGGGCTCGGGCGGGAGCAGGGGAAGGCGCAGGCTGCCCCCTCGCCGCTCCCGCGGGCTGTAGTCGTCCTCGGGCCGCAGGGCCGTGATGGTGACCGCGTTCTCAGGCTCCACCATGCGCTCCCGCCACAGCCGCATGTGGACAGTGGCGCCCGCCCCACGCAGCGCCTCCACGGCCTGCTGGTGCTCCGCGTCCTGCAGGGCCACGCCGTTCACCTGCCACATGGTACTCGTCAGCGCACCCTCCACAGGTGGGCCAGCCAAGTGGGCACAAGCCGCAGCGTGCCAGGGCCTGCTACCCTCCTCCCTGTGGGTACCAGCTACTTATCTGGGCAATGCAGGCCTAGGAGGCCCACTGTCGAGGAAGCAGGTGACGCCCCTACTAGTCCACAGCGCACAGTCCTGGCACCCCCACCCCACACACCTGCTCCTTATCTGAGCAGTCTGGGGAGGATGCTGGGTGTTCTGCATGTCTGACCCTGCCCCAGGCTCTCTGAGCCGCTGGGACACAGCAGCCCCTCTGTTGAGTGAGTGCAGGGTCACTTCCTCCTGCCCTGGTCCCCCAGGGAAGGGCACACGGCCCTCTGACCCCCCTTACACCTAAGACCACAGGCACATGGCCTCCAACGTCCAACGCTCCCTGACATGGCCAGAGCCCCATCCCACAGGCCTCCTGCCCAGACGCAAGTTTCTGCCTTGGGCTGACCTCCGGTCTACCCAGAGCTCTAGCTTATGAGCTCCATGCCTCATAGGGGTCCCATGCTTGGGGCTCTCAGGAGGAGCTGGGTGCCCCCTTCCTGGAAGGGAGGCAGCCCAGCACCAAAAGTGGGACTGAGAGGTCCCAAGGGTGTGCACTTTACACAGTGGCCGGGGGGCTCACCTCAAGGAGCTTGTCACCTACTCGGACCCCAGCCCGAGCCGCAGGGCCCTCCTCAGACACCCGGGAAATGAAAATGCCCTGCAGGACAGAGACAGTCCAAGAACGTCAGTGGATGCCTAGAGGGGCCTCCACCCTGCCCTTGTGGAGAGGGGCCCCCAGCAGCTGTGCGAGGCTCAGAAGCCCCCCAGTCAGGGCTGCAAAGACACCCCAGGGTGCAGGAAAGGCAGAAGTGGGCCTGCAGTGGTCAGACAGCCTGGGTGTGGGCTGCTGTGAGGTCCTGGGCATCAGGGAGTGAGGGTGCAGGTTAGTTCCAGGAAGTTCAAGCCGCACACAGTGCAAGAGGCGCCGGTGCAAGGGAGGTGAGGCTGAAGGAGACAGCGGGCAGACCGGTGGCCCTGATCGTCCTCTATGACCCTGCCCCCCCGCAACCCCGGCCTCCAGGGCCTCATGTGCTGGAAGAGCAGGGACCCCGCGGGCAGCACAGGGTGGGGGCAGCTCCTCACCTCGTCATCCCCCTTATAGGGCGTGGAGCCCTTTCCACCCGCAATGCTGATGCCCAGGCCCCCCGTCTGCCGCACAATGGTGAGCGTCAGCTGCAAACAGAACAGATGTGCCGTGTCCAGGGAGGGCTGAGGGGCCGGGGCCTGGTCCCCTCTGGCCACCAGCCACCTCTCCCAGGGCCAGCTAGGGCCACAGAGGAGCTGAGGAGGTGGGGTTGCCGGGCTCAAGGGAGCGCAGCCAGAGGGAGCGCTGACCTGTGGCTGACAGGGGCCTTGCAGAGCCAGAGTGATGCAGGAGAGGGGGCGCACCCTGCACCTCCTCCAAGATCGGCCACCCCTGCCTGGAGGCCGGTGCCCTGTGGGTCTAGCAGGAGCCCCAGGCCCTGGCTCTGAGTTTGGGGAGGAGGCCTGAGCAGCAGTGGGAAAGAGACGGAGAGCCCGCAGCCCGAGAGCAAGGCCCGCAAAGCCCGGGGCAAGAGTGCAGTGGCAAGCGGGTACAGACCTCTTCCTCCTCAATGCGAGCGGGCTCTATCAGCAGGTTATTGGCCTGGTCAAACGACACCCCCTGTTAGGACAGGACCAGCAAGGACATGCAGGTCAGCTGCCGCCCGGCCCCGCCACCTTGTTGCCCGGCCCCGCCACGAGCAAGAGAGAGAGAGAGAAGACCACACCAAGCTCCCACAGACTGAACGCCCTTCCTGCCTGGGTCTAGTGCTGCCCCCAGGCAGGGGGTCCCCTCCGGTCTGGAGGCCTGGCTGCTGCTGCCGACCTGCCAAATGGGCAGGCTGGGCTAGTGCCAGGTGGGCCTAGGCCTGGCTGTGCCAGCTCTGACCGCCCGGGCCCTCTCAGCCGCCACAGCACTAGGCTGTCTGTGCTCAGCGCAGAACCACAGACATGTCAGACGTGGGGCTGCTGCGGGGCGCGGCATCCCATGGAGAAGACAGGGACCCATGAGAGCCAGCCCTCCAGAGGAGCCCAGGTAGAGAGGGGTACTGCCAGGGGCTTGGGATGGGGCTACAGGGCCAGCATGGAGCTCGCAACCGAGTCAGCATCCAGCCCGCAGAAGAGAGTGAGAAGCTGGGGACAGGCACCTCCCGTGCCAGTTGCCTTGAGTCGCCTGGGACCCACACCGGTGTGGACCAGGGGGCCAGGCCAGCTGGGTTCGGGCTGGTGTGTGGGGCCAGACCCACCTTGACAGAGGGTGCAGAGGCGGCCGCCTTCTCCTCCGCCGCCACTGCCGCCGCCCCCTCCTCTTCCTCCTCAGCCTCGCCTTCCTCCTCTTCCTCTGCTCTCGGAGCCCAGGACATGTGGGGGCCGTTGTGCCAGCCCCCAGCCCCCACCGGGCCCTCACTGTCTGGCGGTGTCCCCTGCAGGAGGGCCACCACGGCCTCAGGCTGGGGCAGCTTGGAGATCTTGAAGTGCTTCTTGTAGTGGGGCGTGTCTTTGCGGATGAGCCTCTGTCTGCCCCCTGGCAGGGGCCAGGGCGCCTCTGGCTGGCCCTCCTCACTCTCGCCATCCTCCCTGGGCAGGAGCAGCGTGTCCTCCGCGAAGCGCACGGTGGGCTGTGAGAGCTGAGCGTGAGGACTAGGCTGGCCCACCCCCGAGCGCAGGGCTAAGGTAGCAGACAGGCGCTGAGAGGGTCCGCTGCTCAAAGAACAGGGACAAGTGACGAGCCAGCAAGGGGCACAGAGCAGTCAGCGGGAAGAGCAGGCTTGGGGGCTTGGAGGCTCTGCCCACCATGTTCTCAGCAGCCCCATGGCAGGGCCCCAGCAGGACCGCGAGGAAGGTCCTGGTGTCTGGGAACGTTCCAGAGGGGAACGTGCTGTAGTGACGGGCATGGGTGGGCAGGGCACAGGCTGGAGCCGGCCTTGAGGTACAGACCCTCCTCCCCAAGCCCTCGCCCCGGCCTGGGGCAGCCTGACTCCTGCTGGGCCCCACACAGCTAAGAGTGCAACTGGGGGCCCACCTGAAAGAACTATCTGGTCCTGCCTGCACACCTGCTTGGAAAGGAGGAGGGGTGGGAGCTGGCAGGCCTGCCCCTGAGTAAGCGGCCCCCAAGGCCAGTCTCACCTCCTCGTAGGTCTCCTCCATGACCTCCTCCTGGGTGGCTGGCATGGGTTCCTGCTGGCTCAGCCCCTCCTCCTCAGCCAGCGGGCCCTCAGGCTCACCCTGGGAGGCTGTGCCGGCAGACAAGTGCGAGTCTGCACTCAGGCCAGACTCAATGCTCAGCCTCTTCTCCTGTGGCAGGGGAAGGCAATGGGTTGGGCTGCCCCTGGAGGATCCCACACTGCAGGAGGCACCCCAGGGCTCCCTGCTGCCTGACCACAGAGCCTCAGGAGTTTCCCCTCCTAGCTGCCCCCATCCTGCAGGGAGTCTGTGCTCATCCTCTGGGGTGCCTGCTGTCCCACCCCTAGGGAAGCCGCACTTCCAGCTCCAACAGCTGCAGATACACAAAACCACTCTTCTGTGGTTTGAACCCTCAAGGCTCATTCCAAAAAAATTCACAAGGGCAGAGGCTGATGAGTCCCCCGAGCGAACGCAAGTTCGAGGATGGGCAGGCGCCCAGACCAGCATGAGCACGCCTCCGGACCAGCGAGGGCAGCTTCCCGTGGGTGGCTGTGCATTGCAGACACAGGTCCCGCCACGTGTCCCCAGGCACCAGCCACCCTGCTATACCCAGGGGCCCTGAGCGAGCGGAGCTGGGCCTGCCTGACTCTGAGCAGCCCCCCTCTCGGAAGCTGACTGCGTGGGTACCCTTGAGACGTGCCAGCCCACAGGCCCATTTCTCCAGCCGCTCCTGGCTCCTCACAGGCAGCTGCCCCACGTCCATGCCAAATGGCTCGTGTCTGCCCAGCGGCCCTGGGTGGAGGTGGCCTGCTCTGCGGAAGGCACATGCACTTGGCCCTGAGCTTCCCAACCAGCACCACAGCCTGGCTCCTCTCCCGGTGGGTTCCCCATGCCCATGCCGGCCGGGAGCCCTGCACCCAGCCCAGGTCTCCCGCGGGAAGTCCTGTAAGGTGGGCAGCTATCCCTCCCGTGGCCTGCGGGTCCCCACAAGCACCTCCTCGGAGGGTGAGGGTGGCACAGGGTCAGGCCTGCAGGAGGTGACTTCGCTCCGGCGCTCCACACCCCTCTTCATCACCTTGAGCTCGCTGGGGTGTGGCGTAGCCCGACGCTGCAGACCCTGCAGTGGGCACAGGGGTGAGGGGCAGGTGGGGCAGGGGTCAGGCGGGGGCAGGGAGGCGGGAGCCTCCGGGGACCCCACCCCGCCATACCCGTTTCTCAGCAGCGGCTTCCTCCGGGTCGTCGTCACCCACGGGGGCCTCCAGGAACTGGATGACGCTGACACGGCTGAGCGGGGCGTCACCCCAGCTTTCCGAAGGGCTGCTCCGCAGCCCAGGGTCCTCTGTGGAAGCGTCTGTCAGGGGGAACCCCGCCCTGCCCCAGGCCCCGCCCCGCCCCAGGCCCCACCCCCAGCGACCTACCAAGGCTGGGCAGCGGCTGCTGAGGCAGCAGGTAGCAGGTGAGCACCTTCTCGCCTGTCTGGGCGTCATCCTCGGTCTGGAACCGAAGCATGGGCTGTGCCTGGTTCTCTGCTAGCCACAAGGCCTTCAGGTTGAGGTGCGTGAGTGCGAATGGCAGACTCTGCAGCCTGGGGGTGGGGGCAAACTCTCAGCCTGGGGGTGGGGGCAAGGTCAGCTCTGGGAGAGCCAGGCCCCGTGCCGCTGGATGGGGGCAGCACTCACCGGTTGCCCGCCACATCCAGCACGTGTAGCTCAGCTGTGTGGGCAAGCTCTGGTGGCAGGACGGCCAGGCGGTTGTCCCTCAAAGAGAGGACGCTGAGTGCCACGCAGCCCCCAATCTCAGGTGGCAGTACCTCTAGGTGGTTCCGGTCCACGTTGAGGTTGGTCAGCTTGGTCAGTTTCCCCAAGGAGTGGGGCAGGGCCTGGCCGGTAGGAGTGAGGATCAGAGACCAGCAGGAGCCCGAAGGTGCAGTCTCTGCCCTTGCTCTGGCCCAGACGAAGCAGATGTTTGGCTCCCACCACTCTGCACGCCTCCAGGTGTTCCCCCATCCTCCCTGCCTCCCACACTAACTCTGAAACCGGCCCCACCGTCAGCAGGTTCTCTGTGAGGATCAGCTCCGACAGGTTCTCACAGTCCCCGATGGCTTCTGTCACCTCGCACAGGCGATTCTGGTCCACCTTCAAGATGGACAACTGCTTCAGCTGACCTGGCGTTGGGAAGATGCAGCAACAGGCTCAGTAGGGCTGGGAGCATGGACACTCACGAGACTGAAGCAGCTTGCGCTGGGGCAAGGACTCCTGCCTCCTGCACTGTGAGACTGCTGAGACCTCAGCCTCCCTCCAGATGCGCGCTTACTGCCCCACCCTACTACCAACCTGAGCACGCCTAGCGGCTCCCAGGTCCTCATCGTGCCCTCACGAGCTCACCACCCGCACTCGCCACTGTGCACTGCCTTAGCTCCCCAGGTGCGAGCACAAGTTGTGCCACTGTGGCTCAATGCATCCCCTCCTCAGGGACAGGTCCCAGAACCCAGCAGAGCCAGGGATCCTTGCCCCAGGACCCCGCTTGGCCCAGGTTCACACTAGCCACGCCCCTCCCAGCACTGACCAATGCCGTCGGGAAGCCGCTGCAGCAGATTCTGGGAGAGCAGCAGGTCAGTGAGCAGCACCAGCCCCCCGAGCTCTGCAGGCAGCTCCTCCAGCCGGTTCTCAGACACGTCCAGGCACACCAGGCGCCGGAGATTCCCGAGCTCCTGGGGGTGGGTGCAGAGGGTCAGGGGGAGGGACAGGCCCAAGGCGGGGTGGCAGCCACACCCTCACTCACCGGGGGCAGGGCAGATAGCTGGTTCCGGTCCAGCCACAGCTCCCTCAGGTTGGGCAGGGCCCCCAGGGTGTCAGGCTGCAAGAAGAAGTGGGGACAGGGTGGTGTCCAAGGCTCACTCGCCCAGCCTGGCCCCGCCTCACCCACGACAGCCCCACCCTCTCCACACCAGCACTTCCAGATCGTTGCCTCCCAAATCCAGCTGTTCCAGCTTGACCAGGAAAGACAGGGACCTGCAGAGGAAACAGAACAAGGTCTGTTGTGGCCACATGGCCCATGGTCCCTGGGGCCAGCTGCTGACAGGGGCAAGCCCACTCACGCAGGCAGGGACTTGAGCAGATTCTCCCGGAGCTCCAGGGTCACCAGGTTGGCAAGGCTGAAGAAGACCAGGACAGAGTATGAGAGAAGGCAGGATGGTGGGGGAGCAGTGCAGGAACAGGGCTCGGCTGAGCCCCCCGCCCCGCAGGAAGGCACTCACTTGCCCACGTCCCCAGGCAGCGCCTGCAGGGACACGTCATTTAGCGCCAGGTGAGCCAGACTGCGTAGCTGAGTGAAGCCTTCGGGGAGCCTAAGGAGAGAAGAGGGTCCTCAGATGCCCAGGCTGGGGCTGCAGAACCCCCACATCCCATGCCCAGCCCTGCTGTGGCCACCACCCACCTGGACAAGGGATTCCCACTGAAGTCAGCAATCTCCAGAGCTTTGCAGAACTTGATGCTCTCAGGAATCTCAGGGATGTCTGTGAGGAGAAAGGGGTCACCACGGAGAGATGCCCACAGCCTCCAGGAGCTCAAAGCCCTTCCTGCCACCCTCAGATGCCACCCCATGCCTGCCCCAGCTCCATACCGTTCCGGGACACATCCAACTCCACCAGCTGCATGAAGTTGGCCACCTCCGGAGGCAACCGCTGGATCTCGTTGTCACTCAGGCCCAGCTTGCGCAGGTTCAGTAGCCTAAAGAAGGGCTGTGGGTAGGGGGTAGGGTCAGGGTGACAGGCCCTGTAGCGAGGGCCCCTCCCTGCTCCAGGCCACACAGGAACCCTGGGTCCTGTCCCGTCACCCTGGTCTGCAGTAAGAAAAGCAACGAGACAAAAACACATACACACAGCTTCTCGAGCTTCTGACTCCTTGACTTTTGATACCTGGTCCCTGTGTGTTACCTCAAAGACACCCCACACACACACACAGCCAGCTGACCCCCCTCAAGCGCTCGGGTCTTAGTCGTCACGGAGAAGTCACTTCCTCTCTGCCCGACGCGTCCCTGTTCCTGCCCTTCGTTTTCCCTCAGAGCTCTGCCTACCACCCGAATCACCTCTGCCACCCACCCCACCGCTGGGCCCGCCAAAGCCTGCGGTAGTTTCTGCTACTGCGCCCCAGCAACCAGCCTAGCCTGAGACGCCGACAAGAATTTGGAAAATACCAAAAAAAATATAGCGAAAACAGCAGGGGCCACAGATCTGTGTGAGGAGCCTTGGTCCAAGTTCTGGAATGAAGCCACACCCTCTGTGGCATGCAGCCCCCAGGCACTGGGCCACTTAGCACCCCATCTCCAAAAAGGAAATCCTTTTGTGACCTGCTTCCTTTAACCTTCTCTCCCAAGTGGCCTTAGAAGGAAAGCAAGCTGACGGGAAGAAACAAGGCAGTAAGAAGTAGACGGAACACAGACTTGTCAGGGACAGGCACCGTAAGAAGGCCCCCTCTGACCCCCCACCCCAGCACCCTGCAGGAAGAGAGCAGTCAGGACAGAGGCTGGGCTCCCCCTCCAGAGCAGTCCAGCAAGCTCGCATCCATTAGCCAGGCCGGTTAACCTTCCACCCCGATCTACCTCAAGCCCATCCACCTTCCCCCGAGGCTTTCCATCTGTAGTTCCTCCTCTAGGCTGTGACCATCCCCACCCCCAGGCAGGCACCTGATGACCGATGCCACCTGGTGCCAGCGCCGGCTTTGGGTGAGGAGGGTGGGGCTGGCCAGGGTGGGGCTCTGGCCAGTAAGAACTAGCAGGGCCGGCTGGACACTGCGGTGTCCCGCACAGGCCAGCGCCGGCTGAGGGTTCGGAGGAGCGGACGGTCTCATCCAGACTGACTCTGACGACCTGGAACAAGGGCTGGGCCGGCGGCCACTTACCTTGGGCAGCTCGCGCAGCTGGTTGGCGTCGAGGAGCAGCTCCTCCAAGCTGCGGCTGTACCGGTAGATCTCCTCGGGCACGGCCTGCAGCGAGCAGTGCCGCTTGTCTACCGACTCCACGTGCCGGTTGCAGCGCCAGAGCGGGATGCACTTGAGCATGGTGCGGGCGGGCGCGGGTGCTCGGACCGCGGCGGCCTGGGTAGGGGGCGCGGCCCGGCCGGCGCTCAGACTCTCAGGACGCGGCAGCGGCCCGGCATCCCGCCTGGCCCACTTGACCGGTCCGTCCGCTCGCCCGCCGCCTGTGCCGCAGTCGGAACCACCACCGCTGCCCGCCGGACTGCCCCGCCGACAACCGCCGGTCGCCGCGCAGCCCGCCGGGAAGCCGAGGCCCGCCCTCGCCGCCCCGAACTGCAACCCCCACAAGGCCCTGCGGTGCCGGTGCCTCCGAGGACCCGTAGCGGCCCCGCGCACGGCCTGTCGGGAAGCTCGACTTGCCCCTGGCGCAAGGAATGGTGGGAGCTGAAGTCCACTCAAAGCCTGCGCTCCCCACCGCCAGCGCCCTAGCCAGCGTCTTAACCAGCGGCTCGATTTCCTGCCTTCCCTCCAGCACCGCCCTGCACCCCCCAACCCCCACCCAGTCCCCGTCTCACGACCCCGAGATCCCGCCCGCCGCCCCTCCCACCGGAACGTGGCTCCCCGAGGGTAGGGCGCCAGGCCGAAGCTGTGCTCGTATTTGCCTGGTGGACTGCGCGTGTCCCAGGACCTCGGAGACTCTGAGCCAGCCTTCTTGCAGCACTACCTGAGCACGTGACGATAGAGCCCCGCACAGCAGGAAGGGTACCCCCACGGTTCACCCCGTTCGGGCACCAAAGAACCAAGCAACTCCTGCTGACCCCGGCAAATGCCTTCCTTGCGGTATTCAGGTCTCTAACCGCCAACGCTCGCTGCCTCTGTGCTGCCCGGGTGCTTGTCCTGTCCCGAACCCGCACCCGCACCCGCACCCCAGCCCCGGGAGCCAATAAGCACAAGACCACTGTCAGACAGGGACGGTCAGGGCCAGCAGCACCTGCACCTTTATCCACAGGTTGGGCGGCCGGGCCCGAGATACCATTGAATCACTCTATAAAACCCAGAGGAAACAAGGAAAAAGTGCGAGTCCGGGGAATGGGGCCGAGGTCATGCAGAGAGGTCACTGTTATCAAAACGCTCCTGGTCATACACTTCAGCCACCACCTTGCGGCCAGCAAACCAGCGCCCATTGAGGGCCTGGATGGCCTTGTGAGTCTCAGAGGCTACGGAAAACTCCACAAAAATCTTGACAATGATCTCCGCGTCCTCCTCCTCGCCCTGCTTCTCTTGGTAGATGATGACACGGTTGACAGCACCGAACTTGCCACACTCCTCGGTCACCTCCCCTTCCAGGTCATCATCGATATCCTTGGGGTCCACCATGTTGCGCAGGACCATCACTGTGGACTGTGGCGGGGACAGCTGAGAGCTGTGGCTGGCTGGACCGCCCCGCCCCGCCCCGCCCCGCCCCACCGGCCCCGGTGGCCCACCTCCTGCTTGCGGAGGAGCTTCTGCATCACCATGTGGCGGGCGCTGCTGCCAGAGATGCTCATGTGCTCCTGCTCACTCAGCATCTCCGGCCGCTCCGACTCGGGAAACAGTTCTTCCTCCTCCTTCTCCTTCTTGGGCTCCAGGAGACCAAGTGTGGGAGGACTGGCCAGGATGGGATTCACCACACCCACAGAGGGGATGGTGACCGGAATGGGAGGCCGGGCCGGGGTCACACCTGCAGCAAAGCCACTGAGTCAGCAGTCACTTCCCACACCTCCCTCCATTCCCAGGAAGGAGCATGGCTGAACTGCCCTGGGGTGCAGAGGGCCCAGGAGACAAAGCAGCTTGTTAAGGACAGCTAAAGGCATTAAGTCCGAAGGAGCAGCAGTGGAGGAGGGAAACCGTGACCCACCCAGGCTCACCTGTGATAACTCCTGGGGCCTGAGCAGCCATGACGGCCTGGGGTAGAGCCCCCAGGGGCTGGGCCAGAGTCAGTGCAGGGGACACCAGTCCAGGAGTGGCTAGGGTACCCAGTACCGCTGCTCCAGCCACTGCTTCCTGCAACCAAGAAGGCCACCATGCTTAGTCCCAGATCTGGCAGCCTCCACTCAAGACCACTAAAAGGGCCAGTCCCCACAGGACCAGGGGTCCTAGTGCCCACTACTGAACCACATAATTGCACCAATCCTTACCTGAGCTGTGATCTTGGCTGTGGCTGCAGCTGCGGCCACGGCAGCAGCTGGCGGGAGGCCTCCAGGTGTGGCCGGTGTAAGCAGGGGCATGGGGGGTGTGACAGCCTTGCCCACCCGCAAGTACTGGCCCCCCAGGTCAAAAAGGTTCATGGAAGACACGGCATCCTGGGACGATTGGGCTTTCTCATATTCTGCAGAGCAGGAGCGCAGTGAGGGCCAGCCTTGGGGTTGGGGTGTGGGGGAAGGGGGCTTTACCACCCCCCCCACCTTCCCAAACTCACCAATGAAGCCATAGCCCTTGTGCTTGCCAGTTGTGGGGTCCCGAGCCAGCGTGCAGGATTTGATCTTGCCAAAGGCCTCAAACACGCTCTTGATGTCATCATCTGAGAGGTCCTGGTGCACGGAAGCCACGTAGATGCGGTTGAAGGCTCGCGCCTCCTCGGCCAGCTGGTCTATGATGGGCTGAGCTTGCCCTATGTTGCTGGGTCTGCCCACCTGGGGGAGAGACAGGAGACAAAGAGCCCCCAGTCAGTCTAGGCTGGATGACTAGACACAGAACACGCTGCACACTGGCCCCAAGGTCCCCTCCCCAGCCCTCACCTTGATGTTCCTGCCTCCCAGCATCACGGAATTCATCTGCTCCAAGGCCAGCTGGGCGGCTTCTGGGACCTCATACTCCACAAACGCAAAGCCCTGGACATAGAAATGTGCAGTCAGGCTGGGAGAGTGCAAGGCAGGGGGCAAGGTGGCAGACAGACTCTCACCTTGTGCTTCATGGTGACGGAGTCCCAGGACATGTCAATGCTCTTGATGGGCCCAAAGGGGGCGAACGCCTGGCGGATGGTGTCCTCCCCCAGCTCGTAGTAGATGGAGCCCACGTAGACCCGGCACATGATGGCCAGTGCCCGCTGCCGCTGAGCCGCCATCTGGAGCAGGAACAAGGGGAGAGAGAGCCACTGGCCTGTGAGGGGTGGCAAGACTCTGGGCAGCCCCTTCCCCTCCTGGCCCACCCCCCATCCCCCACCCCCACCCCCACCCCGCTCTGCTGTGGGGAGGGCTCCCCACGCGGTGGTGTGGTGCAGGGTCCGCCCCTGCAGTCAGGGTGGCGGGGGTCGGCAAGACCCCACCCCAGGAAGGAAAGTCAGGTCTGAAGGCAGGAAATGGACACACCCTGGCCCACTCAGGTCCCAGGCAGACTGACAGCACAGCTGACAGGTGGTCGGAAGGCAGGGCTGCAAGCCCTCCAATCTGGGGCCGGGCACCTGGGTGGGCTGGGAGGTTCTCCCAGGGTCCTGGCCATGCACTCAGACAGAGAGGGAAGGGGGAGCCGCCAGGCTGCAGGGACACTGGTGTGAGGCAAGAGAGGGGGCAAAAGACAGGGCAGCTACTGCCCAGAAGAGACCCCAGGGAGGAGGTGAGGAGCCCAGTCAGGGACTCCCTGGAGAGAAGACCAGCAGCACCGCTCACACAGCCCCAGCACCTTGAACCCTCACAGAAAGGGCTGCTGGTCCCTGGGAGCATCACGAGGGAGCAAAGCCACCAAGAGGAGACGCCCCAGGGTCCACGCGGGCGGGCACCACCGCCTCCATGCTGGGGCCCCCAGGCGCTTGAGGAGACACTCCCACCCGGCCACCTCAGATGACAGGCCTCGCAGGCAGCACCCCAGAGCCACTCGCCATGGGGCACTGGGGGGAGACCACAGGCCCAGGGCAGGCCATGGAGACGGGGCCCTGGCTCCAGCCCTTCAGCGGGGGACCCCCACACCCTCCTGAGATTCCCCATAACGAGAGGCTGGCTTCCTTCTTCAGATATGCCAACCGGTCTAGTACTGGCCAGGTCCCCACATCCCGCCAAGAGGAGCCTAAAAATAAGGCTCATGTCCCCCAGACAGGATCCCCTCCTCAAACTATGCTCCCAACAAAGAGGCCTCAGGCTTCCTGTCGAGATCAAGGACTGTCCCCCCAAATACTTATGTCCCCTCTCGCGCCGGGTGCCCCAGATGTGAGACCAGCTGCCCCTGGGGTCAAAGTTCTCCAGGACAGGAGCATGTCTCCTCTTCAGTGTGGGCTCCCCAACAGTGGGGGTGCCCAGAGCCCCCTGCCTGACCTGCTCCCACAGACAGACGCTTCCTAGAGAGGACACGGGGTCTGTCTGGCCCCCGAGGACAGGACCGCGTGTCCCCTGTGAGAACTCATGCCCAGGGATGGCCCCCAGGGAAGGCCACGTTTCCCCGTCAGACTCCCGGGGGGGCCTGGCCACCTCCTCAGCCTGCCTCTGGGGGCGGGAGGGGCATCTCCTCCCCACACTCCTCTGCTGACAGCAGCCAGGGCCATGGCCACCATCTGCTCCCTGCCCGCGTGGACTCTGCCCCTTGCTGACAGCCAGGGCACGGCCCAATCCTGCTCCTTCCCTCTCTCCTTCACTTGGGTCCCCCCAGCCCCCACCCCCTCCCTCCGTCCCCCCTCCAGGGTTTGATGGGGCTGTGAGTTAAGACCCTTCTCTCCTCAGGCACCTGACCCCAGCCAGGAGCCCGAGCAGCCTGGAGCCCGGCGGAGCTGGAGGCCTGGTGGCACACCCGATGTGTGCAGGCGGCACGGGTGCGGGGGGCCTGGCGCGGGCAGCTGCCCTCCTGGCCGGCTGCCCTCCGCAGTTACCTGGCCGGTTAGTTTTAAGGCGGGCCCTCAGAGCAGATGCAGGCCTCCCCAGGAGCGGTCCCGGGGTGGGTGCCCCCCACACCACTGGCCCCGCCGCGCCTGGCGCTCTGCTGCGCGCGTCCTGAGCTGGCGGGCAGGGCCGGCCACGGGGAGCAAGGTCCCCAGCACATGGGCGCACTGCCCCCCTCTAGCCCTGACTAAGGACATGAGCCCCGGAAGAAGTGAGCATGTCTATTGACCGATTGCAAAGGTGA